GGCTAATTCCTAGCTCAGGCTTCTTGGGCAAGGTTGCTCATTCATTCGTTGATTCACCATGCCACTCAATCACTAGGTATTAACCGAATACCTCCTCTGTGTTATCTGTTTTGAAGATGCACCAGTGATCGAGACACTCATTCACATTGACCTAGATGGTTTCCGTTTGCTAAAAGGGAAGAGTGTCACAGAGCTTGTGCAAGGCGACATGGCGAGCTCAGGGCAGGGCTGGAATGAGAAGCCCCAGGCAGCAGCTTCCCGCTCCCCTGGCCTCTGTTGAAAGCCCTGACCAGGTTGGGGCCCTGACTGGAATGCTGCCTTTCTAGGTTCCAGGCCGCCATGGTACAGAGGGCAGGGGTCAGAGGGAGAGGCCTGCTGGCAGCTGAGCCTCTGAGCTAGCACAGGGGCCCTGCTTTCAAACTGGATTTCTGTTGCCTGAGCTGTGTGACTTTGGGTAAGTGACTTCACCTCTCTGAGTCTCTTTCCTTATTGCAGTGGGGGAGTCACGAATATCTTGCTTATGAGGCTGTGGGTTTGTGTGCAATGAGCCTTGTATAGGCCTCCCCTCAGCTCCTGTACGGGAAGGCCCTTGATGAGCGGAGGAAAGCATTCTCCTCGCTTGGCACATCGGTGTTCTTCTGGCCACCTGGCTGGCGAACGTCCCGCTGCCTGGGGAGCCCAAGTGTGGGAAGCTGGCAGGGCTCCCGTGTGGCACGGGCGGTGCAGGCATGCCTGAGGAGGCTGCGGCCACCTCCTTTCCGGCCCGGCGCCCCTCTCAGCCTGCCAGGGGATTAAAGGCCTTTTGGCCTTTGTGTCGGGCCCTCCCGCCCCTGGCAGTTCGCACAACAAACTGCTGCCCTGACAGATTCCTTCCCTTTTGCCGTCTGCTGCCCGGGGACAGGGCGCCCAGCGGCCTGGGGGTGGACATGGCACCTTGGCCCCTGCGTCCGGGGGCCAGGGTTGTAGCAGAGTGTTGGGGGTGGGCGGTGCTTGCATGCTGGGGTTCCTGGGGAGCCCGCATCATAGCAGAGTGGGGGGATCTTGTCTGAGTTCAGGGCCCTCGCTGGAGATTCAGAAGGGCTTGGGGGACAGCATCTGCTGGTCCCTCCGCCATAGATGGGGGAGGGGGCAGAATCTGCGCTGGCAGAAGGCAGGTGGGCAGGCGGTGGCTCGTTTGCCCCCCCCCCCCCCAACTGTCTCTGGATTTTGATGCAGTGAGCTCACTCCAGCCCAGATGCCTGGAGCCTTGCCCTAGGCGGCTGCAGGCTCCCTGGGGACTGCGGTGCTCAGACCTTCCTGCCCAGCTGGGGTTGGGGTGGGGGAGTGGAAGGCTCAGCCCCAGGCCTGGACCACGGAGAGAGTGGGTGGGAGGTGGGCTGGCTGCCCAAGACCTGTGAAGAATGTCGCTGGAGAAGCCTGAAGTTCCCCCCAACCAGTCCTCCCAGAGTCAACCTCAGAACAGGCAGGCAACATGAACCCTCACAGCAAGCTTCCTGCTCAGCCAGGCTCTGCCCAGCTAGCAAGCCCAGGGCCTGGGCAGAGGAGCCAGACTCCTCCCTTCATCCCAGACCTGAAGGTGACCCTACGCCTGAGCCCACGTCCCACACTCCCGTGCATCCCCGATCACCTCTCAGCTCTTCACCTCTACCCTGAACCCCCTGCATGATGCTAATTCTGATGCTTATTGAGCACTTACTGTATACCAGGCACCAGGCAGAGGGCCTTACCTGTTTGATACCATTTACACAAATGATCCTCTCTGAGCCTCAGTTTCCTCATCTGCAAAATGGAAATAACAATTGTAACTTCACAGTCTCCTAATCAAGACCCATGAGGTCAGCCATGTTTTGGAATTCAGAAGTCTATGAACTCGAGAGAGGTAACAGAGTGATTCAGCTGGGGTGTGACGTCCTCAGTAGAGTTTGGGGTATTACCCTATACTCAGACACACGAATATTGCTGCAACAAAACCTGTGACTGTTCAGCCTACATGGAGTGAATAAGCTATTCATAGCCTCATGTCAATTTAGGTCAGGACTTGACACCAAAAGAGCTTGCTATTAACTTATTAGAAAAGAAAAATAACCCCACTAGTGGGTTTCAGAACTCCTTGGATTATCGCAGAGGAGGGATAAGAGCCCTGTAATGCCAGCCACCACTCCCCAACCCCCAACCGCCGAAACCTGGGTTGCCGTGAAGATTAGTTGAGGTGGTACAGGCAGTGTTTAGGACAAGGCCTGACATCAAGAAAGCCCTCCGTGGGTAGTGACCGTTCTTACTATCATCTCTTTACCATCCCCCAGCTTCCTACCGCTTTGATTTTAGTAGCACCAGAAACTCTTCTTCTATACACGTGACCTCTGTGAGATCCTGTAATCCTCACTTAAACACTCCTTTTTAACCCCCCACACCCTATATCCTCGTCTGTATCAGGACCTGCCCTGGCGCCCCGAATCTCTGCCTTCGGCACCCCGCTGCCATGGCTTGGCCTTTCACTCCCACACCCTTCCCAGACATCCTTGGCTCCCTCCCTTGGTTGGCATCCTCACCCAGGCCAGGAGAGGAAGGCCCAGCCTTTGTCCCCTGTCCCCCAGGGCCTTTGCGGGACTTGGACCTGGAGCTCCACGTGTGACCGCATCCTCACGGGAGGGCCTGCCTCTGGGGGTGGTTGTCTCCCCGAAGTCCGCTGCCTGTTTGATGCACCGCCTGTCTGGTCTCACCTGTGTTCGGGGAGTGCCTGGCCATTGGGGGATGCACCTTGCCCACACCTCCACCCCGTGAAATTGTTCCCAACCCTCCAGAATAGTCCTTGGCCAGTATGAGTCAGCAGCACGCCCCCCTCCCCTCGCCTGCAGAGTCTGGAAAATCCCCCTCGCTGCTTGCCTCCTTCCTCTCTGCCCCAGCTCTGCCCTCTGGACCCCTCCTCTCGGGCCCCGCCATCCGGCTGCAATGCCCGCCCGTAGTGCTGGGTTCCTCTGGGAGGAAGCAGGGCTCCCTCCAGCCGGAGACAGGCTTGGGGGCAGGAAACCTGGGCTCTATTTCTGCCTGTGACCTTGGAGCCACTGGTGGCCCTCGCTGAGACCTTAAGCACCCACTGTATGCGTCCCGGTTGCTGCCGGCTCAGGCGTCCCTGGGAGCTGGTCCCGATGGGGATGGAGGCCGGCCAACCTCTTGGCTCTGCCCGCTGCTTCTGCCCTCACGGCCAGCCTGGAGGCCCAGCTCCAGCCCCACCTCCTTTCCTGGGAAGCAGGGGCTGGGGGTAGGGTGCTCCGAGGCCCTGGGTCTAAGCCTGCCAGCCAGTGGGGGCCATTCACCCCCGCCCATCCCTCTCGGGGTCACTGTCAGGGTCCAGTGACACTGCAGCTAAGGAAATGCTCTGCAACTGTGAATTGCAGTGTGGCTGAGTGGCTCTGTGGGAGCGGCTCCTCCGTGACTTGGGTGGGTCCGCTCTCTCCCCAGCCTTGGCTGCGGAGGTGGTGTGGCACAGTGGTAAGGGCTTAGATGGTGGAGCCAGACCACCAGGGTTCAAATCCCAGCTCTGCCCACATTCCTGACTCTGCTTACATGTCCCCGTCTTTACAGCGGGGCTCCTTGACCCCTAACCTGAGTTAACACCTACAGCATCCTTAGCGTGCCTGGTGCGTAGGAGATGCTCAATAAATGTTGGTTCTTTTTATTCCCCACATAGACCCTGGACTTTCCAGGTCTGAATCCAAATTCCCTTCAATGATCAAGTCTCAGACTCTTTGGGTCTCTTTCTGGAAGCTACTTTCCGGTCTGGCAGCATCTCCCTTTCCAGATGTGAAATACAGCTGCTAAAACCTTTTGATCTTCAGCTTTTCGCAAGTGAAGTCTCTGCTCTTGCTGACTTGTCCCTCGCTGCAGGCCCTTATCTGACCCTAAAGCCTTAGACTGTGGGGTAGGGGCTGTAAGCGGGGGCAAGCTGGCACGTGACGAGCCCATTCCCCAGGTTCCCTGGGGTGGAGGGGGCTCCGGTCCAGGGCCCGACATGCTCTGGATTCTCCCCTCTCACTGCAGATGTGTGTTCCCAACATTTTTTCCAAGATGAATCTCATGTTGCTATTTCCTGTCCAGTCCCAAGCCCCAGTGGCCTCTCCCTCCTTGTAAAAAGCCCTGGACCTTGCTCACCACCCGGGTTTTCCTTTCCAGACAGTGGCCTGGTATCTGTGGGGTGCCAGGAATCTCTGCGCCCCAGGTATGCCATCCACGGCCTTGTTTGCCTGGGGAGGGGGAGGGCTGGCTGTGACACAAAGAGAGCCCTCCCCAAATGGGGAGGGTCCTGCCCCGCCAGCCTCCTCTGCCCAGAGTCAGTGCCCCTGCACCAGCCCTAGCCTCACACTCCCCTTAGATCCATCAGGGCCTGCATAGGGCCCACCCAAGGGATAGGGAACATTGGTCTCTACCCCGAGCCAGGAGAGGAGGGAGAATCCCTGATGCTGGACCAGTCTTGTGGTTCTTAACCAGTGAGTGTCAGAATGCCTGAGCAGGCATGACATTAACCCTCCCACCTGGGGTGGGGAGATGACTCAGTGTGTCTGAGGAAGAGCCCAGGAATCTATTTCTCACCAGCTCCTGGAGGTTCTAAAGCGTATTGCTGGATGCAGACCTCATGGGCACAGCCCAGAAGTCCACTGGCCACCCAGGGCAGGAATGGGCACTAGACCAAAGGGAGAAGAAGGGGAGGAGAGATTTGCCCATGGATTGTGAGGGGAAGGGGCTTAAGGCCATAGCAGGGGATAGACGCGGGCAGTGCAGACCTTACACGAGGCTGGGTAGCACTGCCAAAAAAAAGACCAAAGGAGGGAGATACATACAGACTGCCCGGGGCTGAGCGGTGCCTTCAGAACAGTCATGCTCAGGAAGCAACTGGAATGAACAGGTGATGACACTTTTGTCCATTCGTTCAAGCACTTATTGAACATGGGGTGCTGAGAAGGCAGAGATGACCTCATCACAGTCTCTGCTTTCGAGGCGTTGTCATGCCGGTGCAGGTACAGCCCTTCCACTGTGAGCCCCGGACGGTCCAGAGCCCAGCCTGGGGGCAGAGGAGTCAACTACTCCTCCCAGAAGACAGTTTCTTTTGAGTCATCTTTATTGAGGTATAAATTACATGCAATAAAATATACCCATTTTAAGTGTACAGTTCAGTAATGGGAATGAGATGTATCGATTATATACCTGGGGGACCACTACTCCAGAAGGTTTTCTGTGTCCCTTGCCGGCTGGGCCCACCCCACCCCTGGTCCCAGGCAACCACCCATCTTTCTGTCATCATAGGTTAGACTTTCCCCTGTCCCCGGAGTTTCGTAGAAGTGGAATCATATAGTATGGCGTTTTCTCTGTCTGCCTTCTTTCGCTCAGCACAAAGTGTTTGAGATTCATCCCTGTTTCCAGGCCTGTGGGAATGTGTTCTGTTTTGTGACTGAGCAGTTAGAGGAGGTGGTGGTGTTTAGCTGAGTTTCGGAGGATGGATGGGAGTTAGCCAGATAAACAAAAGGAGGAGCGGCATTCCAGCAGAGGGACCAGCGTGAGAAAAGGCCAGAGGCTCTAGGGACGTGGTCGGTGTGAGGGAGAGGGACTGTCTGGCTTTTTCCTTCTCCTTGGGTGTCTCTCCTTGTCTAGCCAGTGAGAGCTGGGTTTGGTTTTTACAAGGGAGCCTATTTCCTTCTGGCCGGGCTGGGCTCCCCAGATAGGGCTGAGGCCAAGACACTCTTGCCAGGCCATCTGGAACTGGACGTGTGGACCCGTGCGCTCTTGTGCTTGGAGACACTGCGTTTCCCTTAGGCTCCTCTTGGTTTGTTTTCTTCTCCGTTATCTTGTAAAACTCCTTTGGAAACGCCTCAGTCTGGTCTAGGGGCTTCCCGGGTGGCCCAGTGATAAAGAATCCACCTGCCAATGCAGGACATGCAGGTTCGATCTCTGGGTCAGGAAGATCCGCTGGAGAAGGGAATGGCTACCCACTCCAGAAGTCTTGCCTGGAAATTTCCATGCACAGAGAAGCCTGGCGGGCTATATAGTCCATGGGGTCGCAAAGGGTCGGACGCAACTGAGAACTGAGAGCGCACACACACACACAATGTTGTCTAAGGGGAAAGAGGCCTTCACTGCCCACACCCACCCCTGAGAACGGCAGGGGTCACGGCCGCGGGGGCCCCCCTGCGCCAGCCTGCGGGGTGCGGGGTCCGAGCTGCCCCCGTGTTGAACCGAGCTGCAGCTCGTGCTGGGCTCAGCGCCACCCGAGGTCACGTGGAGTTGACACCATGGTGACCTGCCCCCTTTCAGCCCAGCTGCTGGGCTCCACCCCCGCCCCTGGGTGCACAGATGAGCCGGTCAGTGTGGCCACGAGTGCCAGAGCTGATCTCCAACGTGGCTGGAATGTGTCCCCTGTGGCCTGGAGACTCGGAGGCCAGACTGAGGCAGACACAAGTGGCCAAGATGGCTGGGGCGGGGGCGGCGGGGGAGAGGCGCTGTTGGAGACCGCAGCTTCGGTTGACTGCCCCTCCATCTCTGCTTCTGTCTCCCATTCGTGCCGGCCTGACACCCTGTCACTTGCCCGCTGCACCGGCCCTGGCCACCCTCTACCTGCCTGTATCTCCCAGCCCACTGATTCGTGTCCCGGATATCCCCTGCCTTCTCCCGAGGGAAGAAGGGTGGTCACTTACCAAAGCGGTTTTAAGTGTGTTGTTGGGTTTTCCCTGGTGGTCCAGTGGTTAGGACTCTGTGCGTCCACTGCAGGGGGCCCGGGTTTGACCCCTGGTCGAGGAACTAAGATCCTGCAAGCCATGCAGTGTGGCCACAAAAGAAAGAAAAAAAAAAGTACAAGTTTACAATTTGTTTATTTGAGGATTTATTCAGTGGCTAATGAGATTTGGGGAAACTGAGTCATAAACAGTGGCAGAGCCTCAGCCTGACTGTCTTTGCCAAACCACGTCTGACTTGACCACTGGAGGCCATGGGGTGGGACTCTGGGTCCCCCTTTGAGAAGCGGGGCCCCGGGCTTGGCAGGAATTGGAGAGTTTGACACAGTCATTGTGTGGTGCCCCGCAGGTGACCCACGGGCTGCGGGCGTATGATGGCTTGTCCCTGCCGGAGGACGCAGAAACGGTCACAGCCGGCCGGGCCGGCTGGAGCCACTCCGACCTTTCTGATGACGAGGACTTCCTGGCTGATGAGGCCTCCGGAGGTGAGCAGGCTGCTCTGGTGGCCAGGAGTGGAGGGGGTCAGGGTGGAGTTTGGACACTTCCCAGTGGTCCTGAAAGAGGCCCCAAGATACTTGCCCAAGGTGGCCCCTCTAGAGATGGACTAAGAAAGATAGGGAAGCAACCTAAGTGTCCATCAGCAGAGGACTGGGTGATGATGTACCTCTCTGATGGTACATATAGGCAACTATTTAGCCATTAAAAGAAGAATGAAAAAAAAAAGAATGAAATTTTTCCCTTTGTGGCAACATGGATGGACGTGGAGGGCATTGTGTTAAGTGGGATAAGTCAGGTGGAGAAAGAGATACTGTCTGTTATCACTTATATGTGGAGTCTAACAAACCAGTGAATATAACAAAAAAGAAACAGACTCACAGGTGTAGAGAACCCACCAGTGGTTACCAGTGGGTGTGGGGAAAGGGGAGGGGCAGTTTAAGGGTAGGAGAATAAAAGGTGCAAACTGTTAGATATAAAGTAATCTACAAGGATACAGTGTACCACATGAGATATGGCCGATACCTTATAAGAACTGTAAGTGGAGTATAACCTTTAAAACTTGTGAATTATAGGAATTCCCCAGTGGTTCAGTGGTTAGAACTTGGTGGTTTCACTGCCAGAACCTGGGTACAATCCCTGGTCAGGGAACTGAGATCTTGCAGCACACACCGCAACCCCCCGCCCAAAAAAAAATTGTGAATCACTATATTGTATACCAGTAAACTGTATAATACAGTACAGCAGCTATACTTCAATTTTTAAAAAAATTTAGGAAAAAAAGAAATGGGCTAAGAGCTGTGTGCATCCTGAGCCCTGGTCCCAGTGAGCCCAGGACCCTTCACTGACGCCTGTGTGACCCGAGGCTGGCGGCTGCTTCCCCTCACAGCCCAGGATAAGCTGGACTTAAGGGGAAAGTGGTGGGCAGTGCACAGTAGAGGGTGATTATGGCCCCTGAAGCCCCCTACTCCACTTCCTCCCGTCCTCACCTAGAGGTGGGTCTGACCTGGCCCCACCCACTCCATCCAGCCTGGACCACACCCTCTCTGATGGAGGCTTTCCGTAGTTTTACAGGCGGCCCTCCTGTGTTCTATTTCATGTCTGCCCATTTTTATTTCATGGCTACCCATTGCAGTATTCTTGGGCTTTCCCTGTGGCTCAGCTGGTAAAGAATCCACCTGCAATGCGGGAGACTTGGCTTTGATCCCTGGGTTGGGAATATCCCCTGGAGGAGGGAAAGGCTCCCCACTCCAGTGTTCTGGCCTGGAGAATTCCATGGACTGTATAGTCCATGGGGTCACAAAGAGTCGGACGTGACTGAGCGACTTTCACTTTCACTTTTTATGCCGAGCCACATGGCCTGTGGGATCTCAGTTCCCTGCCCAGGGATGGAACCCGAGTTCCCCACATTAGAAGCACCCAGTCTTAACCCCTGAACCACCAGGGAAGTCCCAACAGCTATGTTTTCATGATCCTCCCCACCATGTACTGGGTGCCCAGAGCCGCGCCTGCCACCCAGTAGGTAGTCAATGAAGATTAGTTGTTGCTGAAAAAGTCTTTCTTCTGCTTGTAGATGGTGTGGGCAGCGGCGACCTGGGCAGCGGGGACTTCCAGATGGGTAAGTATCTGGGGACAGCTCACAGGCCCCCAGCCCGCCCCCTGGGGAATCCCGGCCGCAGAGGCTCCATCTCCTGGGCTGAGGGCCTTGCGGCCTCCTTGCACCTGCCACGGGGGCGGCCTCCTCCCCATCGAGTGACAGCTGTGTGCCCCTATGAGGTTGGGGGTGTCCTGGTTCTCTGCCTGCCTGTGTTGGGAAATGCCCAGTTCCGATGGAACTGAGCATCAGCCACTCAGCATTCAAAGCCAGGATCTCACCTCCCAGGGCAGCTCAGCTGTGGAGTCCTTCCCCAGGGCCTGCTTGGGGTGACCGATGCAGAGCGGGCAGGGAAGGTCAGACTGAGGCGCTCTGTGGCTCGGGCATCCGGACCAGCCAGGAGCCGGGCCCGGGAGGGAGCCTGTCTCACGTTGGGTCACCTGCTGGAAGGCTGGGGTTCCTGGGTTGGGGGGAAAGGGGGCTTCACAGGGGGGAAGGAATCAGGCCTCGGTCAGCTGCCCACTCTGCCAGCACCCCACATGCTCAGCCAGAGCAGAGGCTGGCCCAGAGCAGGGAGGCAGCTCAGAGTCCCTGTTTTCTCCCACCCTGGGATTCTGGGCAGAGAAGGGATGAGCCGGGATGAGACCCAGGGATACCGTATGGTTCCTGCTGACTTCTCCAGGAGTGCCTGGGCACAGGGTGATCGGGGCCAAGGACAGAGCTCAGGTCGGAGTCGCCACTGGGCAGCCCTGCTGTGTCCCCAGCACTGCCCACCCCAGCAGGCTGGGATGAGTCTGGGGTGGTGGGGTCGCCTCCCTTCTTCCCAGTGCCTCGGGGCCTTCCAGTGCCGGAGGGTGGGGCGTCCTCACTGGGCCAGTAGAGACCGGAGGGTTGGCCCCTGGGTGGCGCGGTCCTGCCCGTGACCTCCTGGCACCTGGAACTCAGACCCCGTCTGAAGCTTCTCCCCATGTCCATCTCTGCAGGGCTACAGCTGCTGCTAGGATCTGGGTGGGATTGGACTGTGGGTGTCAGATGGGCCCCAGGCACACAAGGCACCCCTAGAATGACCTGTGCTGACCTCAAGCTGCCTCCTGCCAAGCCTGCCTGCTGGGACCCTGCTACCATCCACCCTGTCCCTTCAGAAGTGTCTAGGACCCCCTCCCACGAGGCTGCTCTGAGTGGGCCTTGCTAGCCCTCCTGCTCCCCTGAGAAGCTGCGGGGGCAGGAGAGAGCAGAGGCGGGGCAGGGTGAATGAGAGGAGGCAGCGGGGAGGGCCCAAGGGCCGGAGCCTCTCCTATCGAGTGGGGCTCATCTACGGGAAGGTGTGGGGACGTAGGCCCTCCAGGCCCCAATGTTGGCTCCCGCCCGTGCCCCTGGGGCAGGTCCAGGCAGCTGGGCTGAATCTTAGCCCGAGAGGCCGAAGATAAGTAGATAAGTCTCCTTGACTGCCGGGGTCCTGGGCCTGCTTCAGCCTTGCCCAAGGGCAGTTCCCTCCTTCCTCCAGTAGGCAAGGGCTGTCCTGACCGTAAGCTGACCCACTCCCGGACCGTGGAGCATCATCTGACATGCCTCCTCCCTCTCCTCTTCCCTCGGGCAGGGTTGTGGCTCCCCTCGGCTTTGTCCCAGCCCCGTACTCCTCAAACCCTGAATGCCAGTACCCACCCCACACGGCCCCTGGCTCTGCCTCCCCCGGCCTTGGGAGCCCGGCCCAGCTCCCCTCACCGTTGCCTCCCGTCTTCCGACGGCCTCCGTGTGTCTCCGGCTCTGGTCCGTCCTGCGACAGCCTCTCTGCGTGTCTCTTCTGCGCCCTGCCTGCCCTGCCTTGGGCTTTGTCCTCCCCGCCGCCTCTGTCTGTCTCATCCGCACCTCGTCCCCTCGCTCCGGCTTTTCCCCCCTCTGTCTGTTGGACACGCCATCTCCGCGTCCATGTCTCCGTCTTTCCCTCCCTCCATTCTGCCTTCGTCTCATCTTTTCTCTGCTTCCCCCCGCCATGCTGTCTCTGCGTCTCTGTATGGTCGTGTCTCCGACCCCATCTCTCTGTGTCTGTTTCATCTCTGTTTTCTGCCTCCATCTGTGTCTCTGTCATCTCCGCCTCTGTCTCTCCGGTTGGTCTCTCCCCCTCCCTGTATCTCTGCCCCCTCCTCACCTCTGCTGCTCCTCTCTGCCAGCCCCGGGGACCTCCCCTGCCCGGGGACCCCCTCCCACGGCCGGTGTGATGACCAGGAGTCTCCTCTGGCCGCGGGGACGCGCTTCCCTTCTCTGCCCTGCCCACCTCTCTCCCATCTCGTTCGCTCCCTCCTTTCTCCTGGGTCCTCTTCCCCACCCCCAGCCAGCCCTTTGTCCCACTGGAGACCCCACGCTCCCTGTAGAGTCTTGGGCCAGGCTCGCCCGCCGCCCCTGCCCCAGTGGGCCCCACCCCCTGCCCTGCTCCTTCCCCATCCGGGCTTAGCAGGCCGGGCCCCTGCTGTTCTCCCCCTGGGGTGCCAGTGAGGCAGGGTGGGTACAACGAACCCCTCGGGGCAAAGGCCCTAGAATCTGGAGATGACTTGGATCCACCTCAGGCCTGGCTGATCCCGGGCCCACCCAGGGGACCCCGAAGGACTAGCCTGGCAGTCCGGAGCCCCAGGGTGCGGGGAGGAAATTCTGTTGAGCAGGGACTGGGTATGGACAGTAAGTCGGGTGGGCAGCTCCAGGCCCTGGGGGTGGTCCCCACCCCCGCCCGGGGTGCCAGGCCACTCTGGGCCTCCCACCCCATCAGGCTGGAGCTGAGCCGTCCAGATGGGGTCAGATGAGGGCCAGCCCGGAGACAGCTGGCCAGGGCAGGCCTCCCCGCCCCAGGAGAGCACTCCCGCCCCGGGCCACCCCGCAGCAGCCCCCTCGGCCTGGGTGGTCAGTTCCTGGAGCAGACGTAGCCTCACCTTGTGCCCAGGCCCTCTGCTACCTGCGCCAGGGAGGGCACTCACCCCGACCTTGCCCCTGGTCTGGGAGGAGGCGGGGGCGGGGGCAGGCTGGAGGGTCCGTGCCCTTCCCAGGCCCTGGGAGAAAGGGGCTTTTGTGCAGCCCGGCCCCCTCCCACCCCCATCCCCCCCCGACAGCGGGCACATTCCTGGGCAGAGGCCTGGCCTCAGCCCGCGCTGGGCCGTGGGGAGGAGGCCAGAGGCCGGGGTGGGGACTCTCAATGGGCCTCTGTGGCTGCTCACAAGAGGCCTCTGTGGCCGAGCTCACGGCCCTCACGCTCCAGCCCACGGGGCCCCGCCTGCCCGGCCCCGTGGTCCAGCACTGCCCTCACGGGCACCCTCCCTTGCGGGCACCCCGGCCGGCCACTCTTGCTGTCGCGTGGCTGCCATCCCCATTCCCCGGGGGCTTGCTCAGTGAGCCGCCAAGGTGGGGGGGCGGTCCTGGCGCGGAGTTGGGGTGCGCACCTGGGGGCCTGAGAGACAGCATGAAGAGGCAGGAGGACAGGCCCAGTTCTGCCGCCCGCCTGCGGCTCATCTGTCACTTCTCTGGGCCCCCTTCTGCCTCAGGGGCTCCGCAGCTGCGGTTCCTCCCGCCTGGAATCCTCTTCTCCCGGTCGCCCTCCCGCCCTCCCGCCCCCGGCACCTCGCTCTCTGCCTCTGAGCATCCCCTGGGAGGGGAGGCCTTGCTGGCCGGCCTTGGAGAGGAGCAGCCCTACCCTACCCCAGCGCATCCGCTCCCCCCACCCTTGTTTCCCCCCCGCCCATGGTCCAGATATTCCTCACCTATGTGTTTTATTTCCTTTCTTCTCCCCCTTGAAAGTGATCTCCGGGGGGACAGAAATCGTCGCTTATGAAGTTCACCACTTTATCCCCTACCCCTAAAACATGCCTAGCTTATTCAGTTCAGTTCAGTTGCTCAGTCGTGTCCGACTCTTTGCGACCACATGGACTGCAGCACACCAGGCTTCCCTGTCCATCACCAACTCCTAGAGCTTACTCAAACTCATGTCCATTGAGTCGGTGATGCCATCCACCCATCTCATCCTCTGTTGTCCCCTTCTCCTCCTGCATCAATCTTTCCCAGCATCAGAGTCTTTTCAAGTAAGTCAACTCTTCGCATCAGGTGGCCAAAGTATTGGCCTAGCTTATTAAAGACCTTCGCTATAGATCTGATAAAGCCATGCCTCTCTCAGATGGGAAGAAATAAAACCAAGTCCATTCCTTCGGTTTGTCTTAAAGACCAGAGAGAATCCAGCTAACCCTTGCTGCCCCTGGTGTATGCCAGATACTGTTAGAAGCATTTTCTATTCCTTATCTTATTTTATCCTCACAACAGCCCTCTGGGGTGGACACTACTCTTGTCCCTGTTTTATAAATAAGGAAACTGAGGCTCAGAGAGATGAAGTAACTTTCTTAAGGTTACAGGGCAATTTTCAATTATTTTAATTATAAGTGGCAGTTTTGCTCAGAGACTGAGCTTTTAAGCACTAAGCTATATGGCCTCTTCTAGAGTAATAGTTCAGATTATATTGCTTCTACTACGTGCCAGACTCTCATCGAAGCACTGTGTGTGTGTGTGTGTGTGTGTGTGTGTGTATACACATGTATGCCTCATTTACAACTCATATTTAAGACTTCTGTTATGAACTCATGAACATGATGAGATTTAATGTGCATTAAATATGTATAGCAGTTGCTCAGTAAACAGTAGTTGTAAGTGTATGCTCACACCAATCTGCCGTGAATTTATTCAACCGTCACATATCAGGCACCTCCACTGTGCCCGGCACTGTGCAGGCACTGGGGGTACCGGGGTAAATGAGAGCTGAGGTTCCCCCTGTCACATTTATCGTCTAGCAGTAGAGAGAAAGCTGAGAGCATCTTCTGGTTCCCTAGTACTTGCTCCTTGCCCGGGGCTGCATCTTCGTACACAGGGGGGTGGCCTTCTAAGCATACTATCATTTATTCCCCACTGCAACCCGGTGCAGTAAATGTAATTAACATCTGCAAAAAGGAAACAGAAGTTCAGAGAGGTGAGGTCCGTGCCTGAGATGTGGCTGACCTCAGAACCCACAATCTCTATGACGGTGCTCTGTCGGCCCTGTGTAACTGTGTAGGAGCTATGCCACATTGGGGGTAGCAGGAACTCTTGGGAGAAACCACGAGAACCCCAGAGGAGGGGTCTCTATCAGCAAGGGTTGGGAGGGCAAGGCAGTTCAGGTGGTCTTCTTGGAGGAGGTGACGGCTGAACCAAGCCCTGAAGGATGAGTAGGCACTGGCGTGAGTTGGGGGAGGGAGGAGGAGAAACATGTCACGGTCACTTTCGAGTAATTTCTGTACCAATAAAAAGCGGTGGGGCGGGGGTGGCGGGAATTCCCTGGCCGCCCAGTGGTTAGGACTCAGCACTTTCACTTCTGAGGCCCTGGTTTGATTCCTAGCTTGGAAACTAATGTTCCACAAGCAGTGTGGTGCAACCAAAGAAAAAAATATTTCTCTGCCAGGCCACCTCCTTTGGAGTGTCCCCCTTCTCACCCAGCCTTCCTCTGAGCCAGAGGAGGCCTCCTCTTCTGCACCATCACTTGGGATCTGGATTGGGCCGTTTTCCCTGTTAGTTAAGTCCTTCACTCAAGTGCGAGGCCTGGGTTTTGGGCTCTGGGCAGTCCTGCTGGGCACAGCTGTGGGCACACAGGTGTCAGCCTCAACTGGAGGCCTCCAGGGGCCACCTTCCCATCTCCACCCACTGGCCCAGCTGCCTGAGGCCCCGGTTCTGCCCGCTGGGCCCCTCATAGTGACGCCACCCCCCACCCGAAACTCCCTTTTGCAGTTTATTTCCGAGCGCTGGTAAATTTCACTCGCTCCATCGACTATAGCCCTCAGCTGGAGGACGCAGGCTCCGAGGAGTTCCGAGAGGTGTCGGAGGCTGTGGTAGACACGGTGAGGAGAAGGGGCTTTGGAGGGGGGGCTCCCCAAGTGTGGTGGGGTACAGGACTGAAGGTGGGTGAAGGGATCCGGAAGCTGATGGTACCGTGTCCCTCTCCAGCTGGAGTCAGAGTACCTGAAGATTCCTGGAGACCAGGTTGTCAGTGTGGTGTTCATCAAGTGAGACGGGGCCCCTGGTGGAGGGGGGGCAGCTGGTGTGGGGCAGACAAGGATGGGAGGAGCCCCAGTGGCAGGTGGGCAGCAGGAGGGGCCCAAGGGGCGGCCACACTCTTGGTGGAAATTTGAAGACTGGTGGAGGGGCAGTTTGGACCTTCACTTGCCCCGTGTGGGGTGCAGGCTGTCCAGGAGCCAGGGGGAGAGTTGAGATCAGGCCTGAGCATCGGGCAGGGGCCCCGGGACAGGAGCTGAGACCACAGGTGTCTTCCTCCCTCTTCCGCCCCACCCCACACCCACCCCCAGAGAACTGGACGGCTGGGTCTTCGTGGAGCTGGATGTGGGCTCGGAAGGGAATGCCGACGGGGCTCAGATTCAGGAGGTGCTGCACGGCGTCATCTCCAGCGGCTCCATCGCCTCCTACATCACCTCTCCCCAGGGATTCCAGTTCCGACGCCTGGGCACAGGTGAGCCCATCCTGGAGCCAGGGGCTACCCCCTCCAGTTTCTCAGACTCATGTGCGCGCCCCCGCCCGTTCAGTGTCCCCATCATGGGCTCTCCTAGTTTGGCCTTGCACACTGGTAGCGATGGGGAGCTCACCACCTTATGAGTTTTCCCCATCAATTGTTGTGCAATCTTATCTCGGGTTGAGCAACATCCGTTTCTTTCAGCGGGTACCCATGAGACCCGGTTTCTGCTTTTCTCTCTATTAACGTCTCTACATTGACAATAGGTAGTAAATTCCTTTCTTCACACAGTGCTTTCGGGTCCAAACTACTTTCTGTTTAATCACCAACAATTACTCACTGAGCCCTGACTGTATGCACGCCACTCCCATTCAGACTTCCCAGTAATTCCTGTGATGTAGATATTATTTCTCCTGTTTTAGAGACAAAGGCCCTGAGGCCCAGTGAGGGGAAAATGGTTGCTCTAAAACCACTTACATAGAGCATGCAAAAGCCAGGATGCAAACCAAACTCTGTGCTGGTCTTGCCAGAACCTGTGAGACGTGCGGCTCAGAGACAACAGGAAACTGGCCCCAGGCACACAGCTGTTATTAGATGCACAGCTTTGTACCTTTGAACCTTCCGTGGGGCCCAGCTTTCTTTTCATTGCACCCTCTGACTCACGTTCCAACTCCCGTAGTGTTTTCTTCTCTGAGCCAAACAGTCCCAGTTCATTCCTCACGGGCTGGGAGTTCCCAGTCCCGTCTGCATCTCAGTCCTCTGGGACATGTCACCCTCCTCACCGACTAAGTGGAACCCAGAACTGAACAAACCACCCCTACCGTGGTGTGACCCCCATCAGAAAAAGACATGGTGAAACTGTCACCTCCCTTGTTCTACACATCACACCTCAATTAATGTGCCCAAAGATCAGGTTTGTTCCTTGGCATCCCCAGGCCCAGATCAAGATTTCTGGGGGCCTAGTCCTCTTCCCCCCACTTTTTAATGAGTCCTGCTGGCTAGGGAGGGTAGGATGGGGCTGGCTCAGCCCTGCAAGCCCCCAGCTCCAGGTGGGACGGCTTCTGATCACACCTTCCTTTCCAGCACAGACACCCCCGCCCCCTCTGGCCGCTGTGGCGGCCGCAATGACACCAGGTGAGCATGTGAAGCCAGACCCAGGCCAAGCCGGGGCCCTAGAGAAGCTAATGGATGGAGGGGAAAGCAGGATGAGGGCGTGGTGGCTGGGCACAGCATATCAGCCGCCCCCCCCACTTCCTCTTCATCCTCACTAGGCCTGGCTGTGGCCTGCCCACGTGTGCTCTGGTGGTTGCATGGTGTGGCATGCCGGCTGCGTGTGGGGTCCGCACGGGGGATGGGTGAGGCCGCTGCCACAGAGCCCACGTCCCACGTGTGCCGTGATGTGTCCACCGTGCGTGCTCTGGGCCCTTGCTGAGCCAGAAACCACTGGGCCCGACGCGGAGCCCCAGAACCCTGTCCCGGCTCTGCAGTGCCCGTGTCCCCCCAACATTGTCCAGCTGCCTCTCTGATAGCCAACCCCCCCGCTCCCCACAGTGCCCCAGGTCCCCAGAGCCTGCACCGAGGCGGAGTTCGCCTGCCACCGCTATAATGAGTGTGTGGCCCTGGAGTTCCGCTGTGATCGGAGGCCTGACTGCAGGGACATGTCTGATGAGCTCGATTGTGGTGAGGGCCTGTCTGGGCACACGGTGGCCTCCACGTCAGCCTGGGGCGGGGGTGCCAGGAGGGTTTGCTGCAGGCAAGGGGGAGGTGGGCAGGGACCTGGGAGGGGTGGTAACAGGGTCAGGGGCCTGGGGACGGGGTGGGGGACAAGGGGAGGGAAGCCGCCCCCGCGTGCCAACGCCCAGCGGGCTCTGTCCACAGAGGAGCCGATGCCCACACTCAGCTCCCAGCCGCCCCCTCTGGTGGCCACCCCACCGGTACCAGTCCGGCCAGAGACACCCCCCGACCAGCAGCGCCCAGCCACCCCGGCCCCCCAGGCCGCGCTGCCCAGCCCAGGCAGGCCCGTGCCCTGCGGGCCCCACGAGGCTGCGTGTCACAGCGGGCACTGCATCCCCAAAGACTACGTGTGTGACGGGCAAGAGGACTGCACGGATGGCAGCGATGAAGTGGACTGTGGTGCGGGCCGGGCGGGGGTCTGGGTGCGGGGGGTGGGGGGAGAGGCCCCGGAGGCCTCTGGCTGAACCCTGGCCCCGTGATCCCCCAGGCCCCACCCCGCCCTGTGAGCCCAACGAGTTCCCCTGTGGAAACGGGCACTGTGCCCTCAAGCTCTGGCGCTGCGACGGCGACTTTGACTGTGAGGACCACACCGACGAGGCCGACTGCCGTGAGTGTCCGCCCCGCTGACCGCGCTCCCGGAGCCCCGACCCTTCTCAGACGGGTTTGTGCGCCGTCCCCCGGCTGAAGGTGGAGGCCCTGGGGACAGACTTGTAAGGTCTCTCTCTCTGATGCTGAGCTGACCTTTATAGCAAGCACTGTAGCTAGACAGCCAGTAGTTAATGTCTCTTCATTTATTTGTTACCGTTTGCCATGTATGTTTGGGTGGGGGTCAGATGAGTGGCTCAGTAGGCTTGATAAACCAGGGTCCCTTGATGATAGACGTGTGAGGCAAAGCCTTCCCTTTAAGGCCCTGGAGGTTTTTCATCTAGAGCTGGTTCTGTGTTATTTGTTCCTCCGTCTGCAGCTTTTCATTCATGTAACCGTTCAGCCATCCACCATCTGTCCATCAGTCTGACATCCCTTCTTCCTCCCGTCCACCTATCCACCTACCACCCACCTATCTATTCATCCATTGTTGAGCTGCAAAGCCCCTCATCTACCTGTCAATCCAGTGTCCTTCCTCCTGTCCACTTCACCATTAATTCTATCATGAATCCATCTGTCCACCTATCCATCTGTCCAGCATCCTTCCTCCCATCAATCTCTTCTCCATCTGTCCATCTGTCATCCATCCATGCATTATCCATCTTGCCAGCTCCCCATTCAGCTAGCCATTCATGGAGCCAACATCTTTCCTGCCTCCTGTTCATCTGTCCAGCCACCCTTCTCTCCACTGCCCACCCATCCATCTAGTCAGTGTGATAGACACCGTGACAGTTAAGTGGGTGAGCCTGGAGAGTCAGAGGCCACCTCAGGTAGCATCTTGTGTGTCTGATCCTATGAGGTGAAGCCTGGGGCCTGGTAGTCCCAGATTGAGGCTAATGGAAGCCTTGCTCTATGACCCCGGGTCACAGTTTGAGCGGGCTGACATTCCAAACATCCACGGGTCCAGCCTCTCCTCCTCGCCTCCGCTGCTGTCCCCGCTCCGCAGCAGACCCTGGAGAGAGAGGGGCAGCGTGGTGCCGCAGACTGGCAGAGTTTTATGCCACCCCTCTGAGACTCCAAGCTTGCCTGACAACACAGTCCCTTGAGAGGGAGAAGTAATTGAGGGTTTTAGTTGAAAAGCCCTTCTCGGAGGCCTCTGCAGGGCAACGGTCCAAGGAAAGCCAAGTCCTTGCTGACCGAGTGTGGAACAGAGGACGTGAAAGGGGGGTGGCTCTGGGGGCTGGCGGGGTCTTGGGAGGGGCAGTAGGTGGGTCCTCCTGGCTCCGCTGAGCTCCCCCTCTGTGGCCGGGGGGCCTCTGCTCCTACACCCCTCTGCCCTGCCTGTGTGTCTGTCTCAAGCTCCGTCTCCCTGAAGAAGAATGTCAGTTAGCATCTACTAGAGATGCCTAGCTGGGGCCCCACCCTGGGGCCAGGTCAGTTCCAGGCCTCTGGATTGCTGACCGGCCAGTCCATGGACGGCTGTCTCGGGTCAGCTGGCACCCCTGGGTCCCTTAGAGAGGTGCAGAGCAGCGAGATCTAGGCTGCAGCAGGCCCTTGCTAAAGGCCTTTCCAGTAGACAGAAGTGCCCAGATAGCAGCCAGTGTCTCAAGGTACCGGCTCCTGGGGCCGTGCCTTGGATCTTGTGCGTCTCTGGTAACTGGATGTGGGAGGAGCTGCGTGACTGCCGTGCTGGGGGTGACTGTTTCAGGGGATACAGGTGGACTGTGTTGGACGGATGACTGGGTTCCACGACACTGTGGGCAGTGTTGTGGTGGCAGAGTCTGGGCATGGTCAGGGGGCCTGTGTTGTCATGCAGGCAGGATAAGAGTGTGATCCTAGAAACACGCAGGGAAGGTGGGCAGCCTGGGCCACCGGGCATAAGTAGGTGGACTTGGTGTGGTGGGGGGTGCGGTCCTCCCTGAGGGCAGTGCCCGCTGCCCACACCACCCGGCTCTGTTCCCAGCTGTCAAGCGCCCCGAGGATGTCTGTGGGCCCACCAAGTTCCGCTGCGTGTCCACAAACACCTGCATCCCAGCCAGCTTCCACTGCGACGAGGAGAGCGACTGTCCGGACCGCAGCGACGAGTTTGGCTGCAGTGAGCGGGGAGCTGGGGGGCGAGCTATGGCCCCGGGCCCCTCCCCGCAGTCTCCCCCTGGTCCCCTCCTCCTACCCCCTTGGTGGTTCCCACCCCTCACTCCTGCCCGCTTCTTCCCCCAGTGCCTCCCCAGGTGGTGACCCCTCCCCAGGAGTTGATCCAGGCTTCCCGGGGCCAGACGGTGACCTTCACCTGCGTGGCCATTGGCGTCCCCACCCCTATCATCAACTGGAGACTCAACTGGGGCCACATCCCCTCGCATCCCAGGTGCGGCTCTGGGTCCTGGTAGGGGGCTGAGGCTGGAGGGGCGGTGCGGCCAGAGGTCCCGGCCCAACCCCTGCCTCTTATCTCTGGGGGGGACCCACCAGGGTGACAGTGACCAGTGAGGGCGGCCGCGGCACACTGACCATCCACGATGTGAAGGAGGCAGACCAGGGCGCCTACACCTGCGAGGCCATGAACGCCCGAGGCATGGTGTTCGGCATTCCCGACGGCGTCCTGGAGCTCATCCCGCAGCGGGGTATGGCCCACCGGGCAGGCGGGCACCAGGCGCGGGGCGGGAGCCGGGCTTGTCCGCCGGGGACCGGCTGTAGCCCGCTCCCGTGCCGCCCCGCAGGTCCCTGCCCTGACGGGCACTTCTACCTGGAGCACAGTGCCTCCTGCCTGCCCTGCTTCTGCTTCGGCGTCACCAACGTGTGCCAGAGCAGCCGCCGCTTCCGGGACCAGATCCAGCTGCGCTTTGACCAGCCCAACGACTTCAAGGGTGCGCTGGTGGGCGGGAGGCGGGCACCGGGCTCCCATAGGCTCAGAGGGCAGACAATCGGGAACGCAGCATATGCCCTGGGCAGATGGAGCCAGTCCAGGGAGGCACACGGGGCTGCTGAAGAAATGCCGGGCCCTGTAGGAAAAGCGTTTCAGGGGGAAAAGAAGCTCTTCTAGGAGAAATGAAATCTACTGTTGATACCTGTCTGCATTAGGTGACGAAGAGGGCGGGCCGTGGAGTCACATCCGGGTTCAGACTCTGACTCTCACCCTCACTGCCGTGGGCCCTTGGCCAAGTTAACTATCTAGTGCCTCAGGTTGCTCATCTACAAGACGAGGATAAAATATAACCCCCCCGGGTTGTTATAAGGACCTAGTGGGTTAACACCCGTAAGCCACTCAGAATAGCGCTCGGTCCGAGTGAAGTGCCCAGCTCCCTGCTGCCACCCCCCACATCCTCGTCCTGCAGGATGGAGAGGCACCAGTGACCTGGAGCGTAAGAGCCCAGGCTTTGGCATAGTCTTAGCCTGGAGCTGACTTCTTGATGCACCACTTACTACTTACTGCCTGTGTGACTTTGAGACTCTTGGCTTCTTTGGGCCTGTTTTCCCAAATGTAAAGTCAGGCAGCTGGACTCAGTTCTCTCGGACTCTGAGAGGCAGGATGGCAGGAGCCTAGACATCAGACAGACCTGGGTTCAGGCACATTTCCGTTATCACAGAAAGTTCTCCTGGATGGTTAGTGCTGCCCTAGAGAGCCGGGAGGATGCTGCAGAGAGAATTCCCGTGTGTGTGTGTGTGTGTGTGTGTGTGTGTAGGACACAGCTGGACCCAAGGACCCATCATGGTAACAGGAACAATAACAGCTACCTAGTTTTTGAGCACTTCCGTTGTGTTCCACTCTGTTTTAAGCATATTGTGTCGGTTTGCTTACTTTAGCTTCCTGATAACCCTGGGATGCAAGCCACTGTTGCCCCCATTTTACAGATAGAGAAACTGAGACCTTTGCTCAGACTCACACACCTGGCAGGTGGTGGAACCAAAACTTGGGCATCCATTCTTCAGTGCTTTGTGTGCAGCTTTCTGCTACCCCTGGAGGGCTCTTCCAGCCCTGACAGGCCAGATCTGGTGGCAAGCCAAGGCTCTGAGAAGTCCTGCAGCAGAGAGTCCCCTTGCCCTTTCCTTGACCCTGGGGTTCCCAAACGGTCACCCCGTCATTCGGCAGCTTTGGCTTTGCCTGGGGAGTGCTTTGGGAAATGCTGCTCCAGGAATTTAGGAGGGGGAAAAAAAACAACTTGGCTTCTATTTGACTTTGGGAGAGAGACTGACGTTCCCTTTAAATCACACTTCTCGCAGAATTTTCCGTCTCTCTGGACTACCACCCGGGTGGCTGTCTCGGGCAGGCATGTGCGTGGCGCTCATCCCTCCCCTGTGCCCGCCAGGTGTGAACTTGACGATGCCCGCGCAGCCTGGCATGCCACCCGTCTCCTCCACCCAGCTGCAGATCGACACCGCTCTGCAGGAGTTCCAGCTGGTCGACCTGTCCCGACGCTTCCTAGTCCACGACTCCTTCTGGGCTCTGCCTGAGCAGTTTCTGGGCAACAAGGTGAAGGGGCCACCCTGGGTGGGGAGGGGCCCAGTCCCCCCCGCATCCATGCTCGGAGCCTGCCTGGGCTCCGCTCCCTCTAAAGCTGGGAGGGGGGCATCGGGGCAGTCTCTGTCTGGGAGAGGTGTCCTAATGCCCTCGTTCATTCAGGGCAGAATCTCTGCCCGCTGTGGTCAGGATGGGAGAAGAGCTGATGCAGCCTTTGGAAAAACCCTCCTGGACCACTCCCCACGTCTAAGCTGGGTTCAGTGGCCCCCTCTGGTCTCCCTGGGCACCTTTTACACATTATCATCAGACTCTTCCCCCAAACTGGGCTAAGCATCCTGAAGGCAGAGCCCAAGTGCCGTCATTTTTGCCTCCCTGTGCCCACCCCCGTGCCGGGCACACAGCACGGTGACACAGAGTGAGGGAGGAGGGGGCACCCAGCGGGCATCGCGTGTGCCCACGGCTGCCCGGCCCTGACCCGCCCATCCCGGCCAGGTGGACTCCTACGGGGGCTCCCTGCGCTATAGGGTGCGCTATGAGCTGGCGCGCGGCTCGCTGGAGCCAGTGCAGCGGCCGGATGTGGTCCTTGTGGGCGCCGGCCACCGCCTGCTCTCCCGGGGCCACACACCCACCCAGCCGGGGGTTCCGAACCAGCGCCAGGTCCAGTTCTCTGAGGTACGTGGGGCCTGCTCCCTCGGGGCTGGCGGAGACGGGGGTACAGGCTGGGCAGGTTCTGATGCACGACCCGCCCCCCGGCACCCCGGCCTCTGTTCCCCACCCAGGAGCACTGGGTCCACGAGTCCGGCCGGCCGGTGCAGCGCGCGGAGATGCTGCAGGTGCTGCGGAGCCTGGAGGCAGTGCTCATCCAGACCGTGTACGACCACAAGATGGCCAGCGTGGGGCTGAGTGACGTCGCCATGGATACCACCGTCACCGTCCCCACCAGCCGCGGCCGCGCCCACAGCGTCGAGGAGTGCAGGTGCCTGACCCAGCCGGCCCGAGGACCGCAGAGGCCCTGCATAGGTCGGCGAGAAGCCGCCAGGCTTCGCGGTCCCTGCACCCACAGTCTTGGTTCTGTCCCCGCAGATGCCCCGTCGGCTATTCCGGCTTGTCCTGTGAGAGCTGTGACGCCCACTTCACCCGGGTGCCCGGGGGGCCCTACCTGGGCACCTGCTCTGGCTGCAACTGCAATGGCCATGCCAGCTCTTGTGACCCTGTGTATGGCCACTGCCTGGTGAGTTATGCTGTCTGGCACTTGGATACTGGCTAGGGGCAAGGGCAGGGTGGGAGGTTCCGGCTGAGAGTTCCTTGTGCCTGCATGCTTAGCATAAGCCTCCAGAATGACTACTGTGGCTGCCACACAAGTTCTTGTGACCTCTGGATGCATTAACAGAGATATTATGTCCAGATAAGCGAGGTGAAAGTCCTACTCTTCACTCTGATCAGACCAATCAATCCTGGAGAGTATGGTGTAAAGCATGGCCCTAAGCAGGCCATTCCTAAGAGGAAGGAGCCTATAAATCTTACATTATTTCTTAGGAATGATGGAGGGAGCTGGAATTGGGAGCTGAGAGAAGGTTTAAGCAGGGAGAACAATTATCTCCAAGTCCCCGAACAGCTGTCAGGGGAAGGAGGATCCGCCTCCAGAGGGCAGAACTGGCCAATGGGTGCGGATTGGAAGGAGGATGTGGGTTTCAGTCAGCACAGAGCAGGTATTTGGAGCTGTCTGTGGGACAGGCTGTGATGTGGGGTGATGAACGCCCCGTCAGGATAGAGCTGATGTTCCCCTGTGTGCAAAGCTGTGGGGTGATTCCTGCACAACTGGGGACACTGATCCAGTCGGCCTCAGAGGCCCACCCTCACGGAGCCCCGTCTGGTCCGGTGTGGTCCCACGTCGTTGTGGGGGGCGGGGGCACAGGACTGCTCCGCCAACCTGAGCGCCTCCTTCCCCTTCCCCCCAGAACTGTCAGCACAACACGGAGGGACCTCAGTGCAACAAGTGCAAGGCGGGCTTCTTCGGGGATGCCACCAAGGCCACAGCCACGGCCTGCCGGCCCTGCCCGTGCCCGTACATCGACGCCTCCCGCAGGTCAGACCCGGCTCGGGAGGGGCAGGTGGGGCAGGGGGCGCAGGCAGGAGAGTGGGCCTGGGGCATCCTCTGGGCAGGGAGGGGGGAGACCTGGTTTCGGAGGTTCCCCTGGTCGATAAATTACCCTCGGCCCCCTGACCTCTGTGGGCCTGCCTCCCTTTCCGTACAACGGGCCCCTCTTTCTTTCCAGTGCTGCAGATCTGGAGGAGGTGGGCCTCGGGGCTTCCCTGGGGGTCCAGTGGTCAAGATTCTGTGCTTCCTCTGCAGGGGACCTGAGTTCAAACCCTGACTGGGGAACTGAGATCCCACATGCCTCACAGAGTGGCCAAAATAAATAAAATATCTTTTAAATAGTGGAAATAGGGCAGATGGGCCTCGTGGCCTGCTGTGTCCCTGTGGACCGCGGTCACTCCCAGAGCGGGTCTGTGAGCCCTGGCCCAGCCCCTCATTGCAGCCCTGCCCCACGTCCTGTCCGCCTCATCCCCACAGGTTCTCAGACACCTGCTTCCTGGACACGGATGGCCAAGCCACGTGTGACGCGTGTGCTCCAGGCTACACGGGCCGCCGCTGTGAGAGGTGAGCGAGAGCCCGCAGGGGCCGGGAGAAGCAGGCCATAGTTGGTGGGGGCCTGGGAGCACCTCTGACCACCTTCTGTCTCTCCCAGCTGTGCTGCCGGCTACGAGGGCAACCCCATCCAGCCCAATGGGAAGTGCAGGCCCACCAGTGAGTATCGCACACGCCATCCATGGCACCTTCCCAGGCCGCCCGCCCCCAGGTCCGAGGCCCTGGTCCAGCACAAACTCCCCCTGGCCCTTGGGGAGCGCCCCACACCCCCCCCCAACTCTGTCCAGATTATGTCCATCTTGTTCCCACCTTCCCTGCCAACACCAACTTTGCATCTCCAGACCAGCAGATTGTGCGCTGTGATGAGCGAGGCAGCACTGGGTCCTCCGGGGAGGCCTGTCTCTGCAAGGTACGTGTGCCCTCCCCACCCCGCACCCCGGGGGCCCTGGGTTCCCGCCCGCAGCTGGGAGGAGGAGGAGGAAGGAGGCTGCATCCTCTCCTGGCTCCTTAGCCAATGGTGGTGGCCTCTGCTGCAGGCCGATGGGTCTGGCCAGCTAGACTCCCCCCACCCCTCATGAGAAGTGGCCCAGAGTCAGGAAGGAGCCACTGGTTTGAGAGGCAGGTGACCTGGGTTCCGGGCTCAGGTCCATCCTTTGTGTGACCATCGGACCTTTGCTCTGACCATGCTTTCATCCCACGTTGACGCGATGGCGTAGCTATTAGCATCACCAATTCAAAGGTGAGGAGATGCGAGCTCAGAGGAGGGAAATGGTTTGCCTGAGATCAGGAGCCTCAGGTGTCTACAGAACAAAGAAGTGGACAGATTTGGAAATCAGGCACTTTACTCCCACCTTCCATCCTGGGATGGATCAGCAAGCTGGTCACCCCATGTCAATCATTTCCCATCCCTGAGCCTTGGTTTCCTTGCTTGAAGCATGGAAATAGCCCATTCCTCTCAAGGGACTTCAAGAAATTAAATGAAAAAAAAAAAGAAACTGAGGTGCTGGTTGAATAGAAACTAGTGTAGTGCATTAAACAGACCATAATAATAGCAGGAGTTATTTTAAGCAGGACTTCCCAGGTGGCACAGTTGGTAAAGAATCCACCTGCCAGGCAGGAGACCTGGGTTTGATCCCTGGGTTGGGAAGATGCCCTGGGGAAGGAAATGGCAACCCGCGCCAGCATTCTTGCCTGGGAAATCCCTTGGACACAGGAGCATGATCAGCTACTTACTGTCCATGGGGGTCACAAAAGAGTCAGACACTACTTTAGTGACTGAACAACAGCAATTATTTTCACCACTTGCTATATTTCAAGTCTAAAATTTATTCGTGAGCTCCCTAGCAGCCACAGAAAAAAAAGGAAAATGATTGGTTGTATAAGCTCCGTTAATTGAGAATTGTTGTTCACACGGCGGCCAGCCCTCCTAAGCCTGCTCTTTCTGGGGCTCCCCCTGGCCTTGGGTTCCTGTCTGGAATGTGGGTAGATTAGACCGGAAGCTGCAGGGAGCACCCATCCTCCGCCCTGCCCCCGCCTCCCATGGGCCAGCCTGCAGCTCCCAGCTCTGTCCCTGCAGAACAATGTGGTGGGGCGCCTCTGCAACGAGTGTGTGGCCGGCTCTTTCCACCTGAGCGCCCGCAACCCCGATGGCTGCCTCAAGTGCTTCTGCATGGGCGTCAGTCGCCAGTGCACCAGCTCCTCCTGGCGCCGTGCCCAGGTACCTAGGCGAGGAGGGGGGCTGGCCAGACAGGTGGGACCGCCGAGCCGAGGGATGGGTGGACCCGGGGCTGAGGGGCAGGCCACGGCCCCCATCCCGGCCTCTTCTCCCGCCTCTATCAGGTGCTGGGGGCCTCCGAGGAGCCCACTCGGTTCAGCCTGACCAACCCCGCGGGCACCCACAACGCCAGCGAGGGAATCTCATCGCCCTCGCCCGGGGAACTGGTCTTCTCCTCCTTCCACAGCCTGCCGCCTGGGCCCTACTTCTGGAGCCTCCCTTCACGCTTCCTGGGGGACAAGGTGGGCAGGGGCTGCCTGGGGCCTTTTCAGAAGAGGAGGCGGTCCGAGCAGCGGCGGGGCCCCACGGTGGGGGCCCCAGCTGAGTGCCTGTCCCCCTTGGGTCCCAGGTGACCTCCTATGGTGGAGAGCTGCGCTTTACGGTGACCCAGCGGCCCCAGCCTGGCTCCGCACCCCTGCATGGGCACCCGCTGGTGGTCCTGCAGGGCAATAACATCGCCTTGGAACACCACGCCTCCCAGGAGCCCAGCTCCGGTCAGCCCAGCACCTTCACCGTGCCCTTCTGGGAGGTGAGCGGCGCCGCCCAGGAGACCTCCGGGGGGCTCCCTGCGCCCCTCACTCGGGCGTCAGGATGTCAGGGACTGCAGCCCACACGCTCTTTCTTCGGCAGCAAGCGTGGAGGCGGCCTGACGGGCAGCCGGCCACGCGGGAGCACCTGCTGATGGCCCTGGCGGACGTCGACACCCTCCTGATCCAGGCATCCTACACCCAGCGGCCAGCTGAGAGCAGGTGTCCGGGGCCAGGGCGGGAGGGCAGGAAGGGACTGGGCGGTGGCTGCAGGCTTAGCGGCGCAACGTGGGGCAGGCGGACTGCCAGCTCTGCCGCTTTCCGGCCTTGCTGTGCCTCATTTTCTCACCTGTGAAATGTAGATGGTAGGGCTTCCTAGGTGGCTCAGTGGTAAAGAACCCACCTGCCAATGCAGGAGACGCAGGTTCGATCCCTGGATTGGGAAGATCCCCTGGAGAAGGAAATGGCAACCTGCTCCAGTATTCTTGCCTGGGAAGTCCCACGGACAGAGGAGCTACTGTTCATGGGGTTGCAAAAGAGTAGGACACGACTTAGCAAGTAAACAACAACAGAATGGAGATTCTAATAGCTCCTCTATCACAGGGCTTGTCTGAGGTGTAGTTCCCAAGGAGCAAAGCCAGAGATGGGATTTGAGTCATTGGCAAGGAGAACCTGGGAGGGAAGGAGACAGGAGGAGGACGTGGCCATGCGAGGGAGCGGTTTCAGGGAGAGACCAGCCTGGGTCTGTCACCACGGAGCCCTGCAGAGTCATCCTGCGTGAGCCACAGGGACCTTTGTACCCTGGGCCGGTCTGTCATTGGTCCCCCTAAGGGAGTAGGTTGGTGGGACCTCTCCCCGTGAGGAAGGCTCATTCCCTGGAGAAAGTTGCGGGTTTAAGCCCTTCGTCACAGTCCTTGCGGCTGCTGAGGGCTGGACGCCCAGGCAGAGAGAGTTGGGCAGGGCCCCCGTAGCATCACGGCAGGGCTGCTGGGAAGATTAACGAGGTGATCAGGTGTAGGGCCCCAGGGATTGCGCACAGGTCCAGCGGAAGTGCTCATTCACACCGGGGTCCTTGTCACCTCCAGGGTCTCCGGCATTAGCATGGATGTGGCCGTGCCCGAGGACACTGGCCAGGACCCTGCGCTGGAGGTGGAGCAGTGTACCTGCCCGCCTGGGTACCGCGGTCCGTCCTGCCAGGTGAGCCCACCGTCCAGCCAGGCCCCTCCACGGCGGTGCTCCCCAGCTCCTCCTCCCTTAGCTCTCCCACCTCCCCACGCCCACCCCGGCCATCGGCAGTCCCGACCCAGAGCGGGCCCTGAGGAAAGCCCCTCTTACCGCGCCCAGGACTGTGACGCGGGCTACACACGCATGCCCAGCGGCCTCTACCTGGGCACCTGCGAACGCTGCAGCTGCCACGGCCACACCGAGGTCTGCGAGCCCGAGACGGGCGCCTGCCAGGTGAGCCCCCCGCCTTTGCCTCCTGCCCCCGGGGTCTGCGGCCTCCAGGCCCAGCCTCGACCCCACGATCTGCCTGCCCCAGGAGTGTCAGCACCACACAGAGGGCCCCCGATGTGAGCGGTGCCAGCCCGGGTACTACGGGGACGCCCAGCGTGGGACACCACACGACTGCCAGCCGTGCCCCTGCCACGGAGCGCCCGCTGCCGGCCAGTGCGTCCAGCCCCTGCCCGCGCCTGCCCCTTCCGAAATGCCCAGTGCTCTGTCCCAGATTCCCTTCCTTCCAGGCCCTCCTGAGAGGCAGTGGCCTTACCGCTCCTTCACTGTGTCACTTTGTATGAGATACACTTTCCTCTCTAGGCCTCAACTTCCTCATCTGTTAAATGGGGATAATGAAGTAACCCCCCCCACCCCCGCCCACACACCCCTTGGCCCCTGCTGTGATGAGCATGAGATGAAGCCACGGAACTCTTAGCACAGACCCTGGCATGTAGCTGGCTCTCAGGACGTGTTAATTCACGTGGCCCCTCCTCCTCACCCTTTCGCCCCTGGTCCTGAAGGAAGAGCCACTGACCTTCTAACTGGAAATTCGCCCCCTACCTCCGCAGAGCCACCCACACTTGCTTTCTGGACACAGACGGCCACCCCACCTGTGATGCGTGTTCCGCAGGCCACAGCGGGCGTCACTGTGAGAGGTGAGGGCAGGGTGTGAAGTTTGCAGGAGGGGTTGCCCCTGGAGGTGGGCTGGGCCCGGCCCTCCTGAGCAGGAGGGAGCAGAAGCCCCCCACTCTGCCTCACACAGGCCCCCAGGGGACAGTCAGCGTCCCCCACTCCACCCCACCCCCGAGAGCCTGAACGTTTCGCCTGGCATTTGAGACCCTCAGAGATCTAGACCTGCAGTTCACTCCCAACTCCCAATACTCCAATCCCCAGTGAGGCCAAAGTCTTCCCAGAAACCCCTCATTCTTGCTGAAAGTCCTGGGTTTGAGGCCTTGGACCCTGCCAATCTCACTGGTTCCGTGGCCTGTGGCCTGTCCCTGCCCCTCTTCTCCGCACTACTTCTCCATCTGTGCAATGGGTGAGTTAGGCTAATTGGTTCGTCCAGCACTCGGAGGTCGCCGAGTCCCGCACAGGGCCCTCAGCACAGCCCAGCGGTTCTTCCCTCCATTCACCCGGCACCTTCTCTCACCGCAGGTGTGCACCAGGTTACCACGGCAACCCCAGCCAGGGCCAGCCCTGTCGAAGTGAGTAGGCTTGGGGAGGCTTTGGGGATCTGGCCACCCTGGGGATGGAGCTAGGACAGAGCCTTTGTTCTCCTCCAACATAGGGAAAATGACTACCTCTCCGAACCTCGGCTTCTTTACCTGTAAAATGGGGGTGGTAAAAGGCCCACCCAACCCCAGAGGGCGTCTGTGAATGTGTCCAATGCCTGCACGTGACGGGTGTTCAGAAGCAAACACTTGTTCGCTCGGGTGGAGCGTCAGATGCCCAGAGGGTGGTGGGAATGGGGTTGCTTGGTGGTGGGTTTGGGGTTCCAGCTGTGGCTTCCCTCCGCCTCAGGAGGCGACGGCCAGTCGCCGGAGCAGATCGGCTGTGGCTGCGACCCCCAGGGCAGCGTTAGCAACCAGTGTGACGCTGCTGGACAGTGCCAGTGCAAGGTTAGTCCCAACCCCGGCCCTGCACGAGGCCCCGAAGCGTGGCCGAGACGGTCGCCCGGCCTTCCCTGCCGCCCTGCCTTTGGGTCTGTCCCTGTGCCCCTGCCCCCTGTCCTCGCGGAGCCTGTCCCTGCCCCACTGCTCGCGGCCTCAAGGTAAGTCAGGCAGCATCCGCTGGGAGCTGGGACCTAGGCCTGGGAGCAGCAGGGGCCCCCCCAGAACCCCCAGAAGTGGCTGGGAAGACTGACCTCAAAGGCTGCCAGCCGTGCAAGAGACCCATCCAGACTCCCCGCCCCCGCCTTTCGGTCCATCCCGCAGGCCCAGGTGGAAGGCCTCACCTGCAGCCAGTGCCGGCCCCACCACTTCCATCTGAGCGCCAGCAACCCGGACGGCTGCCTGCCCTGCTTCTGCATGGGCGTCACCCAGCAGTGCGCCAGCTCCTCCTACACTCGCCACCTGGTAAGAGTGCCGGACCCTCCCTTAGCCCGGGGGGCCTCCTGCCTGCCTCTCCCGGCTCATCCCTGGAGCCGGGCCGTGAGGCGCCTGGCCCAGCGGCATCCCCGATCCCTGTTCCCGTGCCTTCATCATTGCCCACATAAACACAGGTCCCAGCACCCCCGCCGGTCCCCCAGGCCCTCTCCCCACCGCCCCATTACTTCTCAGGTCAGCCCCGATCCCAGTCTTCCTTCCTCCCCCCAGCCATGGTCTCCATTCCCCCATGACTTCTGTCCCAGGCCCCATTTTACCAGACCCCCTCCACTTTCCCCACTCCAGGGACCTCCCGTGCCCCTCCCCCCCCCAGAGGCCTTCTGGGGCCAGATTGACCCCCACCCTCCTTTTTCCTGCTGTCAGATCACCACCCGCTTTGCCCCCGGGGACTTCCAAGGCTTTGCCCTGGTGAACCCACAGCGGAACAGCCGCCTGACCGCAGGCTTCACTGTGGAACCGGTGACCGAGGGCACCCAGCTGTCTTTCGGCAACTTTGCCCACCTTGGCCATGAGTCCTTCTACTGGCAGCTCCCGGAGACGTACCAGGGAGACAAGGTGGGACGCGCCGCAGGGCCTGGCAGACCACCCTCCCCGATCACCAGCTCTGAGCCAGGCCCTGGGCAGCAGGGACTCAGACATGAGCTGGCTTCAGAGCAGTGTGGGCTGGCAGGCAGGCGACGGCCACGTCGTGGCTGCTGCCTTTGGGGGTCAGACAGGCCTCAACCCAGCCCTGCCACTTCCCAGCTGGCTGTCTGGTGATAAACCTCAGCTCCAGGGCAGTTTGGAGAATTAGAGCTGGTGCCTGGCGCATAGTAAGTGCTCGCCTGTTTATGATTATTACCTTTCGCACAATTAGTCAACCAACAGGTCCTGGGCGAGGCCCTGGGAAACACTTGGACAGACGAGACACGGTTTCAGTTTCATTCATTGGCTCCCGCGGAATTCGCTCCGTGCTGTCGGCCCTCTGCTTGGAGTTGGGTGCTCTTATCACAGGTCATGCTTTTTGAGCTCTTCCTCTGTGCTAGGTGCGATTGTGAGGCCTTGTATCAGACTGGCCAGAAAACTCGTTTGGTTTTTCTGTAAACTGTTACGGAAAAATCCGAATGAACGTTTCAGCCAACCCAGTACAGGTCATAAGTCACAACTTAGGAGCTAAGGACAGCTGCTGCCCTTTCGCACTGGTGAGGAAACTGGGATGAGAGGTTAGGGAGCTTGCCTGGGCTCCCACAGCCTAGAGATGGCAATGCTGGGATGCAAACCAGCTCTGAAAAAGTGAAAGTGAAAGTCGCTCAGTCGTGTCCGAGTCTTTGCGACCCCGTGGACTGTACAGTCTGTGGAATTCTCCAGGCCAGAAAACTGGAGTGGGTGGCCTTTCCCTTCTCCAGGGGATCTTCCCGACCCAGGGATGGAAGCCAAGGTTCCTGCATTGCAGGCAGATTCTTTTCCAGCTGAGCCACAAGGGAAGCCCAGCCAGCTCAGAGGCCACTGGTCACAGATGCTCACAGGCTTTGCTCCTCCAGAGTCATGGTCTAGCGCAGGGATGATGGGACGATGGTGAGGGAGGTGCTGTGGGGCTCAGGCTCTTGGGGTGGACTCCAGGGTGGCCACCTAAACAGGTTCCGTGAGCAGTCAAGGCTACCTGGCCACACCCCGGGAAAACAGCTCTTGGTTCAGGTGTCACCTGCTGGTTGAGGCCAGCGTTGAAGCAGATGGGTCCCCAAGCCCAGGGTCCTAGGAAAGTCAGGGACACTTCAGATGGAGGGTTCTGAGGCTGCTCTGTCCCTCCTCCTTGGACAGACTCACGGAATCCAGACTCCTCCCAGGACTGGCTTCCTTCTAGTCTCTTCTCCCTTCTCTTCCTTTCCTGGCCATGGTGTCTGCTCCCTGCAGCTCCCAGACGTTGCTCTCTCTCTCTCTCTCTCTCTCTCTCTCTAACGCCCTCTCCTGGCATTTCCTTGTGCCCTACAGAGGGAGGCATATTTTGCTCGGATGCGACGGGCTCACCAGGTAGGCCTGCGATCTGAGTGGTGTGACCATGATGTGACCTGGGCATGGTGTGTTCTTGGATGCCCTCCACCCCGCATGGGGAGACGCCCGGCACCCCAGACAATGTGGGAGCAAATGGACCCAGGTGGTGACCGAAGGCCCACGGCCGGGGCAGGGCTGCACTCTGGCCCTGTGATGCCAGGAGTTAGAGCCGGGAGGGTGCCTCACGTACCGTGTACTTGGATGCTAGTGCCAACCCTGCCTGTGGCCAGAGTGCTGGCTGGTAGGCAGGGACACCAGCTGGAGGCTAAACCACGTGACGGTCCCTGGCCCACCAGGTTACCCCAGCACTGCCTCCCAAGCAGCCTCCATTAACCCCCTGTGTGTCCAGCCCTCCAGCGGCCTGGAGTGGACCTCTGTGTGCCAGCCTGCAGAGGGGCGCGTGCACCTTGCTCCCCAGCCCGGGTGGGCCTTCCTGGCTGCTGTGTCCATGGGGAGAGGATGCTCCCCAGTGCTCCAGCTCTGGGGCTCTGGGGGTGGGGGGCGGTGGTCCTGAGCTGGCCTGTGCCCTCTGCCCATCAGAACCGCACGTCCCTCTCAGAGGAGCAGTTGCGGGCAGCCATGACCACTGGCAGGATCCCGGGGCCCCCACAGGGCAAGGGCCGGGCACAGCGGTTCTCACAGGTAACTCAAGGCCCGCCCGGGGACAGGCTGCGTCTAGGGCCCTGGGGAGGAACCCAGAGAGCAGAGTCCCAAGTAGGAGCCTGGGGCTAAGCCCCTGGCCTTCCTGCGTCACTTTCCCCCAGGCTGGGTCCCAGCCTGATGCCTGGATGCAGTGTTCCTTGAGAGGCATTGCTGAGCTGCAAGCAGCTTGGGCAGGTACCATGGGCCTGCTTGAGCTGCGAGTGGCTTAGGCGGGTACCGTGGGCCCGCATGGAGCGTGAGACCCGGGGAGCCACCTCCTCAGTACACGTGGCCCTGCGGCTGCCTCCAGCCGCTCTAGCCCAGGCTTGGCCAGAGCCGTCTGCCCCACCTCTCTTGCCAGGTCACCCATTGCCTGAGCTTCTCCCCACGGCCTCGGCCCCTCCCAGGTGGCCCCCCAGGCTCGTGAGGAGCGAGAGGGCAGCAGGGACGGGCGGCGGAGCGTCAGGCGTCCACGTGTGGAAACAGAGGCCACGGCAGTGGGCGGCGGGCGGGCCGGGGGCCCCCGGGTGTCGGCAGGGCCTCGCGGGCTCCTTTCTGTCCCCCTGCTCCTCTCCTCTGTCCCCCCTCTCCCGGCCCCCCAGGTGGATGAGGCCCAAAGGCGGATGGATGCTGAAATCTGGCAGCTCCTCTCCAGCTTTGCCGCCCAGCCCCCGGCCCCTCCCAGACTCTCACCCCATCCTCCGCCTGCAGCTGCTCTGCAAGCAGCTCCGCCCTCATCCCCCTCCTCCTCCTCCCCCTCCTCCTCCTCCCCCTCCTCCTCAGCCTTCTCTGCTTCCCTGTCTTCTGCAGCGGGCGCTCAGGTATGTGCCAAGTCCCCCACCAAGGGACCCCTCCCTCAAGCACCACGTTTTCAGTTCTCACTGAACCAACGTCACAAATTCTGCCCATTTCTGCACCCTACTTGGACAGATATTTATTCCCATTTTTTTTTCTTTACACCAACCCTGTACCAGCTCATTTATGCTAGTGTTGCATTTTTAAATCCACACCAGAACAGCCACTAAATTTCAAAACGTTCTCTGGGGTGCCCCGTCAATCATCCTGGGGTCCACAGGGGATGCAGTGCCAGATGTGAGCAGATATTGACCCAAGCCGCAGCCAGCGAGAGCCGCGGGGTGTCCGGACCCAGACGGTGGGGAGCAAGCTGTCCAGAGAGCAGGGCCAGGGCCTGCACTGTGGGGGCGGGGGTGGGGTCTCCATCCCTCTGCCCCCCTGGGCTTCCTTCCGGGGTCTGCTCACCCACTGTTGGGCCCACCTCTGCCCTCTTGGCCCCCTGGCCAGCTCCATCCACTCTCACCACCTGTCCTTCTGTCCTAGTTCTCTCTCTCCTACAAAGGCTTCCCTCTGCTTCCTGAAAGCCTCTATTATTGGCAGCTGCCCAGAACCTTCCTGGGGAACAAGGTAACAAGGATTTGTGGAGGGGTGGATAGGGGTGTCATCAGATCCTGAAATGTCAGAGGGCCCCTTGTCAAGACGTTTCATGACACAGTTGGGTAGACCAAATCCCAGAGCGGAGATCCTCGCTCAGGTCCCAGTGGTGCTGAGGTTGAGCCCAGTGCAGCCCTCACCCTTCAGGGAGCCACAGGCCCCTCTCTGAACTGGGAGGTAAGACACATCTTCTTTGGCCCGCCTTTACCCTGTATTCAGATCACGGACTAGCTTTTGGGCTGTACTTATTCATTCAGGGAGCATTAAGTACTTACCACATGCTGCACTGTTGTTGTTCAGTCGCTCAGTCGTGTCTGACCCTTTATGACCCCATGGACTGCAGCACCCCAGGATTCCCTGTCCATCACCAACTCCCGGAGCTTGCTCAAGCTCATGTCCGTTGAGTCGATGATGCCATCCGACCATCTCATCCTATGTCGTCCCCTTCTCCTCCTGCCTTCAATCTTTCCCAGCATCAGGGTCTCTTCCAATGAGTCAGCTCTTCACATCAGGTGGCCAAAGTATTGGAGTTTCAGCTTCAGCATTGGTCCTTCCAGTGAACACCCAGGACTGATCTCCTTTAGGACTGACCGGTTGCTCTCCAAGGGTCTCTGTGTGGTATACGGGCTTCCGTTGCAGAGTATGGGCTCTAGAGCCCAGGCTCAGTAGTTGGGTGCATTGGCCCAGTTATCTTTCCAGACCAGGGATCAAACCCACGTTCCCTGCATTGGCAGGCAGATACTTAACCACTGGACCACCAGGGAAGTTCTAGCATGGCATTTGTATTTGTATTGTTCCAAAAATGATTTAGGGTGCCTTTTAAGAATACAGAAAATAGGCAATAAAATATTGTTCAGAGAAGAGGACAAGACAGTTTGGTCCAGGGGGACATGAAGATAGGAAAAATCTGCTGGAAGCAAAGTGGAGCTGGTCCAGAGAGGAGTCAGCAGGCACTGAGGCTGTGGGCTCCGCAGGTTCCGTGCTGAGTGCAGGGTTTTACGTGGCCTTTATTACTTAATCCTCATTCTACCTTTTAATGTAGGTATTAATATTATTTTTATTCCCATTTCCATGGGAGGCAAGTCGGGCTCAGAGAAATTAAGTGACGTATCCGAGGCTGTCCAAATAGCACAGCTGGACTTGAACCCCCGTATCAGACTACAGAGTCCACTCCCTTATCTGTCCTGCTGTACAACCTGTGGCCTGACCTTGGACATGGCAGTGAACTTGCTGGCATCCAACGAAAACGGGAAACCAGCTGTTTCATGGTTTTCTGGTTATGCCCATAGATTCCTTCCCTCACCCTGAACTTGTGGAGAACGTCCTCGGGGCCTGTGTAGCCAAGGGCCTGGCATGTCATCAGTAGGCGTTTATTAAATGCTCGCCAACTGAATGAACAAATGGAGTAGGCCTGACACAGTGTGGCATTGACCGGACCTCTGCCCTGGAGGCAGAGAGAGAAAGGGAAGTCGTGTGGGGCAGAGTTGGGGTCTTGGCTGCTCACGTGGGAAGCCCCAGCAGCAAACAGAAGGACTCTCCCAGTTGTGAGCAGTGGGAAGGCCAACTCTAGCAGGCTCGTCTGCAACGAAGAATCTATCAGCTCTTGCAACTCCAGAACCCAAGGGTATCTGCTGTCAGGCACAGCTGGATCCAGGGACTCGTTAGGACTTTATCTCACTTGGCACCATCGTCTAGCTTCCCATCTGACTAGTCAGGGGAGTTCTTCTGTTCCGGTAGAGCAGACATGCCAGGTTCACGTGCTCATCAGTGATGGAGCAGAGAAGGGAAGTGGTGGAATATGCAGACTGGTCAGGCCTGGCTCAGGCCGATCCTATGGAGGAGGAGGGGTGGGCCCCCTCAAACCACACAGCCTGCCTGTAGGATGTAGCTTCCTCTGGAGGAAGCCAGGACTGCAGTATGCAAAAACAGGGGACATGGATCCTGAGCAAACAGAAACCGCCTACCCAGATGGCAGGAGTTCTAAGGGGCTGTCAGCCTCGCCTGCCGCCTCTGCCGTGGCTGAGAACTTCTGAGCCTTCTGCAACCTCCCCGTGGTGCTCACGGTCGTTACCCTTGTCTGCTTTATGAGAAATTCTGTTATTGGAAGGGACTTAGGGCTTGTTTGCTGGGATCAGAGACCGTGGGAAAGGGGGAACCCTACAAAATGGAACAGAGGCTTCTCAGGGGCACACTGCCCCCAGGTCTGAGACTGTGAGGGGGCTGATGGGTGTCATCACCTAGGTGACCATGGACCTCTGGTTGGCTGGGGGGACAGCACAGGTGCAGAAAAGCCTCCCGAGGCTCCGCCCCCTCACCTGTCGGGTCACGCAGATCCCAGAGGAGGGCAGAGTCAGGGCGTGACTGCAGGGCTTGCCTCTTGCAGGTGGCGGCCTATGGCGGGAAGCTGCGATACACCCTGTCCTACACGGCAGGGGCGCAGGGCAGCCCGCTTTCTGACCCCGACGTCCAGATCACGGTGAGCATGGGGCTTCCACGCCAAGTGGGAAGAAGGGGGACAGTGGAGGCCAGGGAGCATCCTTGATGTTTCTACCCTTTCAGTCCAGCGCTCAGTTGACCCGGCACCCACCCACGGGTTAGGCCTGTGTCCCCACCCCACCATGTGTCTGGACACTACAGAGGCTGAGGCCTGGCTACAGGGCCTGTACCTGACTCCTTAGGGCACAGGAGCTTGGGAGATTGGAGAGATGGGAGGCTGGGACTGGGGGAGGTCCTACTGTCCCCAAGAATGCCTTGCTTCCCCTCCAATCCTGCTGGTGTCTCCCCAGGGCAACAACATCATGCTGGTAGCTTCCCAGCCAGTGCTGCAGGGCCCGGAGAAGAAGAGCTACGAGGTCGTTTTCCGAGAGGTGAGAGGCACTCGGCCACACTGTGTCTGACCCTCCCCATCCTGCTTTGGAGCCCAGCTTTGACGCCAGCTTCCCCTGCCTCTTACTCCACCCCGGTCCTGACCTCACTGTCCTCAGCCAGTGCCGGGGAGGCAGGGGTTGGGGATGGGGGTGCTGCAGGGCCAACCCCTCACCTTCATCTGCCGCCGTCCCCCCCGACCCAGGAATTCTGGCGCCGGCCCGACGGACAGCCAGCCACCCGCGAGCACCTCCTGATGGCGCTGGCCGACCTGGACGAGGTCCTGGTCCGAGCCACCTTCTCCTCCGTGCCGCTGGCGGCCAGCATCAGCGGGGTCAGCCTTGAGGTCGCCCGGCCCGGCCCCTCCGAGGGCCCCCAGGCCCTGGAGGTGGAGGAATGCCGCTGCCCCCCAGGCTATGTCGGCTCGTCCTGCCAGGTGAGCACGGCCCACCCAGCTGCCTCCGCGCCACACAGCTGGGGCCGCAAGTGGTCAGCTGGGATTTCCATGGCCTGTGATCACCATGGGGCTTCCCAGGTGGCACTAGTGGCAAAGAACCCACCTGCCAACGCAGGCGAGATGTGAGAGATCCAGGTTCGATCCCTGGGTCAGGAAGATCCCCTGGAGGAGGACGTGGCAACCCACTCCAGTATTCTTGCCTGGAAAACCCCACAGACAGAGGAGCCTGGTGGGCTACAGTCCACAGGGTCTCCAAGAGTCAATCGCAGCTGAGCACACACGCACGTGATCACCGTCATAACCTTAATATGTTGGCAGCATGGCATATGTTCTTCCCAACAGCGCTGGGAGAGGTGTAATGGTCCCCGTTTAACAGATTATTTTTAAAAAATGAGGCTCTGAAACGTGTGTGACTTACCCAAGGGCACACGGCTACACCCCGTGGAGTTAAGACCCAGCTCACGCTCTCAGGGTGCTCGCCAGAGACAGGGTGACAAACGGAGACACCAGTTAGCCCAAAGCAGAGCCTGGAGGTGCCTCCGAGAGGCGAACAGCGTGGATGGGAGTAGGTTTCTAGGCAGGAGGACAGAATACACAGAAGTCTCAGAAGGCGGAATGTGTGGGGACAGAGCCTGCAAAGCAGAAGGGTCGCCCCTGGAAAGCTGGGTGGGGGGGGGGGCCGCTTCTTCAGGCCTGGAGTAAGGCTCCCCCAGCAGGGATGACTGCCAAGCTGCAGAGGGAACACTAGGGTTGGAACTGGGCCCCGGGAAAATTCCTCTGCCCACTGTGACTGAGATGGCTGGGGCCAGGGGAGAGACAGGGAGCGCGCCTGGGAGGGAAGGGCAGTGGGGAGTGGAAGAGGAGAGGCGGTTGGAGGGACTCCAAGAACATCTACAGGGCTCGGCTGGAGACAGCGCAAGGGCAGGGCCTGCGCTGACTGCTCACCCCTGAATCCCCAGGCACAGAGCAGGCAGCCGCTTAACACTGGATGAGTGGGTGTGGAAGGGGGGGAAGGGGGACCGCGGGAGGGGAGTGGGGAGGGCTGCGGTGCCAGGTGGGCACCAGGGAGGTCAAGCGTGGAGCAGCCAGCCCCCCCAGCCCAGCTCGGGACGTCCTGGTGAGAAGCCGTGTCCCTACAGCTTTGTGCACACTTGCCGTGGCCACAAGAACTTTCACATCCAAGCAGGTGAACTTCATGTCCCTTGAAGTTATGAAACAACACTTTTTGTGTGTGTGTGTGAAGCAGCACATTTTGAAGGAGAACTCCCAGAGAAGGCAGAGTGCTTGGTGCACATTTTCTGCAGTGAAACAAAACAGATTTATAAACATCCCTTTGAAATGGTCGGGGAGGGAGAGCCTGGAGAGATTTCAAAGAAGGGGCAGCGAATAGAAATTCACTGTTCTCAGAACCCCTGATTACTCACTTAGGATGTGTAAAAACCTCCTTGGTTACATGGTGCTGCCTCCTTCACTTTGTGGGGCAAACGTAAACATAGTCATAACGGTCTTTAAGGAGTCACCCCAACTCCAGGTCTCCTGAGCCCTCCTTTTTCCTTGTAGGGGTTGTTTTTACATAAAGACCCTGCTAGAAGAATTTTTAGGAAGGAAGCCGTGGGGCTGGAGAAGGGTTCTGCATTGTTGTTGTTCACTCACTAAGTCGTGTCCGACTCTTTGCGACCCCATGGACTGCAACACAGCAGGCTCCCCTGGCCTTCACCACCTCCCGGAGCTCGCTCAAACTCATGTCCATCAAGTCAACGATGCCATCCAACCATTTCATCCTCTGTCGCCCCCTTCTCCTCCAGCCTTCAGTCTTTCCCAATAGGCAGCTTTTTGCATCTGATAGCCAAAGTATTGGAGCCTCAGCCTCAGTCCTTCCAATGAACAGTTAGGATTGATTTCCTTTAGGATTGACTGGTTTGATCTCTTGGCTGTCGAAGGGACTCTCAAGAGTCTTCTCCATTAAGGATGAACTATTATTTCAGTATATGCGTGACTGGAGACACTAGACAGGACAGGGTGGACACTGTCCCAGCTCTGGAGAGCTGGGAAGAGGAGAGGAGAGCTCCTGAGAGGGGATGCTGGGCCTGGAGTCTCCCCTCCAAGAGCCAGTGGGAGTCTAGATGGCAGGAGAGAGGAGTTCCGGGTCTACTGGCTGCAGGTGGGACCACCTTGGAGATGGAGACCAATGCTGCCCTCTGCCCCCTAGGACTGTGCCCCGGGCTACACGCGCACCGGAAGTGGACTCTACCTCGGCCACTGTGAGCTGTGTGAATGCAACGGCCACTCAGACCTGTGCCACCCGGAGACCGGGGCCTGCTCAGTAAGACGCACGCAGGGCCAGGGCAGGGGGCCGTGTGGCTGGGGCTGGGCAGGGTCTCAGGCTGCCTGGGGGGTGGGAGGGCTTTGGTGTGTTCAGACGGAAGTCCAGGGCCACAGTCACAGGCCGCATCCTATGGGGCAAAGTGCCTGGACCAGCAGGTCTAAAGCATTGAGGGGTCGTAGACACGGTGGGGTGACCAGAGCTGTGGATTAGCATCCTTCTCTATAAAGAACGCTTTAGAGGACTTCCCTGGTGGTCCGGTGGTTAGGACTCCGCACGTCCACTGCAGTGGGCATGGGCTCGGTCACTGGCCAGGAAACTGAGGTCCTACAAGCCATGTGGTACAGCCACAAAAATCAAGAAAACTAGACAACGTTGGTTCCTGTTATTTCCTGTCACCAGTGTGACACATGTTTCTGTAGAAGCATCAGACTGTACAGATAACTTAAAAACAAAGTTAAAATTCCCTGAAATCCTACCATCTGGAGGTAATCACTGTCAACATTAGACTGTGGAGTTCTTTTTTCTGGGCAAATATTTACACAGATTAATATACCTTTTGTTTTGCAAATAAGCCTAGTATCATTGTGTTTGATGATAAACTTTTTTTCACTTCTTGACATCTTTCAATATTTCAATATTTTTTATACCTGAACTTCTCAGAGTGATATATGTATAACCCTCCAGGGTATGTGGTCAAGGACCGGGTGGTTGACAGAACCACCAACTAGATATTAAATGAGGATTATGCTACATTAATTTTTTAAAAAATAGATCTCTTTGGAGGAAAACATAAAATGCACACACATTTTTTACAATTAAGGCTTATTTCCAAAACTCTGCCCCCATATACTCATGTGGGTACTTTTCTGTGATACCAGGTATTTAGATTAAAAAATGTAAGAAATGCAATCAATATCCTTTTTGATAGCTTTTTGGATGGAATTTCCTTTTTTAATTTCCTCGGTTCTTTTCTTCTTGGTATGTTTCCAGCATTATGTTTTTAAAAACACCGCTGAGATGAATGGAACATCCTGTAGTGAATTCATTGTGCCCCTCCCTGATTATTTCTTTAAGATAAGCTCACGAATGTGGAATTTCCAGATCAAGGGATTACCAAATAGTATGATTTGGGATAAATTTTGCCAAATAGCAAGTGGCTGACATCCTTGCACCTTGCAGCAATGCCAACACAACGCTGCCGGGGAGTTCTGTGAGCAGTGTGCCCCTGGCTACTACGGAGATGCCACGGCCGGAACACCCGAGGACTGCCAGCCCTGCGCCTGCCCGCTGACCAACCCAGAGAACATGTGGGTGCCCCTGCTCAAGGCCCTGGGGAGTGGAGGGCATCGCACTCACTCTTGGGGCGAAGGTGGAGGGAACAGGGTAGGGAGCGGGTGTTCCGGAGCCTCAGCTTCGCCCCCTACCCCAGGTTCTCCCGCACCTGTGAAAGCCTGGGAGCTGGAGGGTACCGCTGCACAGCCTGTGAGCCTGGCTACACCGGCCAGTACTGTGAGCAGTAAGTGCTATAGGAGGGATGCAGGGAGCGGGGCCTGGGGGAGACTCCTAGGTGAGAGTCCTGGATGATGTTGCTCAGAAAGGTCCCAACTAGGATTGTGTCCCTCCCCTGCCCAAAACCCTGCCAAGATTCCCCGGTGCCCTTGAGACCAGCCCAAACTCCTTAGGTGGTAGCTTTATCATTCACCAGGCTCATCCCTCTTCTGACACCTCACTCCATATTCTAGCTGGGCTTCCCTTCTTGACTTCTTCATGTTCAGTTCTTTACGTGTGCTGTTTTTGCTCTTCATGGATCATTCTCCATCCACACACCCCCTCTCATCCTGGCTAACTCCTGTTTGGCCTTCAAAACTCAGCTCTATTCCCTTGTTCAGTGCATTTTTATTGAGACTCTACTGTACGCCATGCAGTGTGGCAATGTGTTGGAAATAAAGTGATGAGCAAAACAGATTCAGTCCCAATCCTTATAGAGTCTACTGCCTGTAATGGGAGACAAGACAGTGGGTAAGCCTACAAGTGAATAGTTACAAACGGGGATGAGTTCTCCGCTGAGTACAGTCTGCTCCAAGGGAACAGAGCAGCTCAGGAGTCTCGTCCTCTGGGAAGCATCCTGATTCTCAGGGCTGGACAGGTGCCCCCTCTCCCACCATGCCCCCCCAGCCCCCACACATGTCCCTCACTCTCATTTATGTGGTTCCTCAAGAGCACGATTTTATCATGTTTGCTGTTGTGCATCCGTAACATTGCTTAGCGTGTGCGTGTGTCTGTTAGTCGCTCAGTTGTGTCCAACTCTGTGCGACCCCGTGGACATAAGTGTTTGTTGAATGACTATTTCCCGGAATCCAACCTGCTGACCTTTCCCCCTGCCCTACTCCACCTTCTCAGCTCACAGAGGCTCTGCGCTGGGGCCTTTCTGGTCTCTGAAAATCCTCCCTGAGCTGAGTCTCCTCACCCCGTGGTGGGCCGAGAGCCGAGCTGACTCCCCAAGTCCGCCAAGAGGCACTGGGTCCCCTTGGGCCTGACACAGCTTGTCGTTGTTCCTCCTCACAGGTGTGCCCCGGGATACGTGGGTAACCCCAATGTGCCAGGGGGCCGGTGCCTGCCGCAGAGTAAGTGGGTCCACGGTCTTGGGTCAGAGGTGGTGGGCAAGGCAGGGGACCTGGGGAGTCTGAGAGATACTAGGTCTGGGGAGCAGGGTGAGCGGGGGATGCGCCAGTCTTTGGGAGGGCAGGGAGATTTGAGACAGTGGTACCTGGCGGGGGCCTCCTGTCTGAGTGGCCTCCCCTGTCCCTCTCCCAGCAGATCAAGCCCCACTGGTGGTACAGGTCCATCCAACTCGGAGCGTGGTACCCCAGGGGGGCCCCCACTCCCTGCGGTGCCAGGTCAGTGGGAGCCCACCCCACTACTTCTACTGGTCTCGTGAAGATGGGCGGCCATTGCCCAGCAGCACCCAGCAGCGACATCAAGGTACGCGTGGCCCCAGGCCCCTTGGCCACCCCGGTGGAAGGGGAGACACAGGCCTGCCCCTACCCTACTGAGATCCTGTAGGGACCCACACACAGGACTGGGTCGGAAAAGGGTTGCATCTTCACTGATGAGCCTCACTCCCCCCATCCTCACCACCAGGCTCGGAGCTGCACTTCCCCAGCGTCCAGCCCTCGGATGCTGGAGTCTACATTTGCACCTGTCGGAATCTCCATCATGCCAACACCAGCCGGGCAGAGCTGCTGGTCACTGGTGAGTTCCTCGTCCCCTGTCCCCAGCACTGCCTGTCCTGGGCCGGGCTGCACACTGCAGAGGGGGACAGTGGTTTCCCGGATGAGGACACTGCCCAGAAAGAGGGGAAGAGATGATGGCGTCAAGATGGTAGAACTGATACAGGCAGAACTGGCAGGACTTAATACCGAGAGAGAGAAAAGTCTAGGAAGATGCCCAAGGGTCTGGATTCCAGCAGCTGGGTACACAGGGCACCATTTACTGAGATGAGAGAGGCCCCAACAGCAGTTTCTTCATTTGGGCTGCCCCAAAAGCAGAGACTGAGACAAAGATTTGTGTGCATGTAGTGTATTTGGGAAATGAACTGGAGAGGAGAAGGCACCCAGTAAAGCGTGTGTCATATCACTGAGCATGTTACCACTTAGAGCAAGTGTTGCTGAACACAGCCGGGGCAGCACCAGGGAACTCCAGAGTAAAGCCCCAGCGCCCACCTGCTGCCCCAGGGCCAAGGGAACTGGGCTACGCATGCACCAGCTCCCATCAGTCACTGACTGGGGCCTGTTCCAGGAGCACTGAGGCCGCTGCGTTCTGTCCCACCCTGTGGGCAGGCACAGTGACCTGAGAAAACCCTTCTGCAAAGAAACGCGGCTGCTGCAGAATTGAGGCAGGCGGGTGTAGGAGTGACCGGGCCGAGGCGTGTGCACGGGACCCCGGCAGCCCCTGCCACCAGCAGGTCCCAGGGAATCACAAGTTTGGTTTTAGCCCTGTTAAAAGTTTGAGATGTTTGGGGAAACACTGAAGTGTGTACATGAGGTGGGCATTTTGGAGCTGTGAGTCTGAAGCTCAGGAAAGAGGCCCTGGCCAGAGAAGTGAATTTGGGAACTGTGGGTACATGAGTGGACGCAGGGTGAAGTCACCCAGGACAGAGCCTGGGGAGCCCCAACTTGAGCTTGTCAGATGGAAGAGGGAGCAAGTGGGCACAGCCTGCAGACAGGAGGAGGCTGGGGGAGGGGGTGGCTGGAAGTCAGGGGGGAAGCGGCTTCCTAGAGAGAGTGGCCCCCTCGTCAGAAGCTGCCAGGAGGTCAGCTCCAGGCAGAGAAATAACCCTCGGAGATGATGCTCTGACAGGAGCGGTTTGCAGTGGAGAGAAGGGGGAGAAACCGGATTGGAGTGGGGCAAAGAATGGATGGGGAGGCAACCAGTGTAGATGACTGCTTCAAGAGTCTTGCCTTTGAACAGAGGGCAAGAAATAGGGCAGGAGCTGGGGGGGAGGAGGGCACGTGTGGGGTCAGGGGGTCATTTTCAGATATGGGAAATTCTAGAACACATTTGTCTGCGGAGTGGGATGATCCCACGGGGAGGGAGCCAGAGAGGGCACAGCTGGGTGAGAGGGTCCTCGGCACTTAAGAAGGGGAGTGGAGGGCGGGCTGGAGGTGGGGAGAAAGCTCGCCCTTCAGGGACCAGGGAGGAGGGAGGTGGGGAGATTGGGGATCGTGGAAAATTCCTTACTAGTCATTTCAGTTCTCTCCAGAAGTTGAGTTGAAACCACGGAAGTGGAACGAGGACTCTGGAGGGTGGAGAAGTTGGGAGGAGGTGTGAAATGGTTGTTTAGGAAGATAGAAACTCATGCCAGACAGGGAGCCCCGCTGGGGTGAAGTGCGAATTGCTAAGAGCTTGTCTGTGGTCTGTGATGGTGAACCGGAGCCAAGGGGATCACGGTGTGACGTTCCCTGGCCACAGCCTGATGGGTGCTTGGTGCCCGCGGGGGAGAAAGGAGATGATGGATTTGAGCCAGGAGGAGGAAGGGAGGTGTCAGGGAGTGGAATGGAAGCTAAGCCAGACTTGGGTGATGGAGAGAGAGAGGGTGAGAGAGAAAGTGGACCCAGGACAGGGGCCTGGCCAGCACCCAACTCCCCGGGGAAACTCCCGCCCCCACAGAGGCTCCCGGCAAGCCCATCACGGTCACAGTGGAGGAGCAACGCAGCCAGAGCGTGCGCCCCGGAGCCGACGTCACCTTCATCTGCACGGCCAAGAGCAAGGTGGGCGGGGCAGGGAGTGGGCATTGGTGACGGTCTGTCTCCTGGGGTCTCTGAGCCGCAGTCCAAGCCCCATGCCCATCTCCCTGGCCTCCTCCGCCTGCAGTCTCCGGCTTATACCCTGGTGTGGACCCGCCTGCATAATGGGAAACTGCCAAGCCGAGCCATGGATTTCAACGGCATCCTGACCATTCGCAACGTACAGCCCAGTGACGCGGGCACCTACGTGTGCACCGGCTCCAACATGTTCGCCATGGACCAGGGCACAGCCACGCTGCACGTGCAAGGTACACTGTTCACGTCCATGCCCGACCCACGTGGCCCTGCCCTTCCTCCACACTCTCCAGGACCAGTGAGCATCTCTCCATTCAGCTGACAGCTTCTGAACTGGAAACGGCAGGTCCTAGACTCGGAAGAAATGGGGGTGGGAGGTTAGACAAGCAGTATCTCTGCCGTTCCACCCTCCGTGTTCAGTGGGGAGCCTGTAAACAGTGGACAAACAACACTATCACACTGGTGCTGGGATGGGAGTGGAGCGAAAAGAGTGAGGCTTGAGGTGGGCCTGAGGTGAGAGCTCTTCTACATGGGGTGGTCAGGGAGGACCCCCCGGAGGAAGTGACATCTCAGCTGAGACCTGAAGGGAAGAGAAGGTGTTCAGCCATGCAGGATCTGACAGAGGAAGCAGCATGTGCCAAGGCCCTGAGGCAGGAGCGTGCTGTTGGAGGGAGGGCAAGGCCAGTGTGGGAGGGTGGGTGAGGAACTTGAAGATGTGGGCACAGGTGAGTGCACACATTGAGGCATGGCAGGGAATTCAGACGTTTTTGTTCTGAAAGCCACGAACAGGCCATAAGTGGGCAAGTAGCAAGATCCCATTGACTTTTTTTTTTTTTTTGGCCGCGTGTGCGGCTTGTGGGATCTTAGTTCCCTGACCGGGGATCGAACCCACACCCTCAGCAGTGAAAGGGAAGACTTCTAACCACTGGACCGCCAGGGAAGTCCCCACCCCCTCCACCGCCAATGACATTTTTTTTTAACATTTTTTTTGGAGTCTATTGAATTTGTTACAATACTGCTTCTGTTTTATGTTCAGATGTTGGTTTTTTGGGCCAAGAGGCACGTGGGGAGCTTCGTTCCCCGACTGGGGATCGAACCCACAGCCTCAGCAGTGAAAGTGCAGTCTTAACCCCGGAACCGCCAGGGAAATCCCTCCCATTGACAATTTAGAGACTCCCTCTGCCTGCTCTGTGGACAGATGGCCACGAAGGGCTGGAGTGGAAGCAAAGGGAGCAGCAAGCAGGCTGCTGGCGCGGGTCCCTCCCCTCCCTGACTGCACACTGTCTCCTCGCTCCTCAGCCTCGGCCACCCCCTCCGCCCCCGTGGTCTCCATCCACCCGCCGCAGCTCACGGTGCAGCCGGGCCAGACGGCCGAGTTCCGCTGCAGTGCCACGGGGCACCCTGCACCCAGCCTAGAGTGGACAGGTGAGGCCATGGCGGGAACAACCGTCAGAGCCTGGCTCTCCTGGATGTGGGGTGGCGGGGGGGGTGGTGCAGCCAGGGGCAGAACGCTAGGAGGTGGACCTCAACCTCTCGGTATGCAGTGGGGGCCCGGCAGTGCCCACCCCAGTGGGTGCTGACCCCGCCTCCCTGCTGTCACGAGGCCCTGGTGGCCAGCTCCCTCAGAAAGCCCAGATGCATGGTGGCATCCTGCGCCTGCCAGCCGTTGAGGCCTCGGATCAAGGCCAGTACCTGTGCCGCGCCCAAAGCAGCGCCGGGCAGCACGTGGCCAGGGCTGTACTACACGTGCACGGTGAGAGGACCCGGCTGAGTGGGGAGGGCGGGGGCGCCCTGGCAGCCCTGGGGAGGTGTTCTCACAGGGCTCTGTCTGCAGGGGGCAGCGGGCCCAGGGTCCAGGTGAGCCCAGAGAGGACCCAGGTTCACGAAGGCCGCACCGTCAGGCTGTACTGCAGGGCTGCGGGGGTGCCCAGCGCCACCATCAGCTGGAGGAAGGAAGGGGGCAGCCTCCCCCCGCAGGTGAGGGTACCGGCTGGCCGAGTCCCAGCACCTGCCCTCTTGCCCCGTTCCCTCTCCTCCTCCAGTTCTCTCCACTTCCAAGAGGATGCCCTGATCAGACTTCCCACTACAGGCATCCTGGCAGGGGGCAGCTGTCAGCCTCCTGCTTTGCTGTGTGCGTGCCCACCTGCAGCCCTGATCCCGGCTCTGAACTGGCCTGTACCTCTCTGCCTGCCCTCCCTGGCCAGCCCTTGCCAGGCTGCCTTTGACCCCTTCTCCCCGTGTGGCAGGCCCGTGCAGAGCGCACAGACATCGCCACGCTGCTCATCCCTGCCATCACGGCCGCCGATGCCGGCTTCTACCTCTGTGTGGCCACCAGCCCCGCGGGCACCGCCCAGGCCCGGATTCAAGTGGTGGTCCTTCCAGGTGCGGGGCCCCCAGGGGCTGGAGGAGTAGGAGGACCAGCCTTGGCCCCCTGAGGTCGCCTCACTCCCCCCCCAACCCCGCCTCCCGTCTTAGGTGCCACCACCCCACCGGTCAGGATTGAGTCCTCCTCACCTTCTGTGACCGAAGGACAGACCCTGGACCTCAACTGCGTGGTGGCAGGGCTGGCCCACACCCAGATCACGTGGTACAAGCGAGGGGGCAGCCTGCCTCCCCACGCCCAGGTACGAGGGTCCCTGAGCCCCGTGGCAGGAGACCCCAGGGTGGGGCAGTCCATCACGCCCCCAGGGCACCCTGCACGAGCAGTGTCCACCCTTACTTCCCTCTCTCTGCAGCCCCCTCTGGGGGGCGGTCCTGAGTGGAGCCAGGCTCAGGGGGCATGGTGGCCAGAGCCCCTCCCATCCTCGCAAACCTCTGTCCTCACCCGGCCCAGGTGCACGGCTCCCGGCTGCGTCTGCCCCAGGTATCACCAGCCGACTCTGGAGAATACGTGTGCCGAGTGGAGAACGACTCAGGCCCCAAGGAGGCCTCCATCATCGTCTCTGTCCTCCACAGCCGCCATCCGGGCCCCGGCTACACCCCAGGTGAGGAGCCAGCGGGGCTAGGTGAGGGCTGAGCCCTCCGACCCCCCCTGTGCTCCCGAGGATGCTGCCCCGGGGTCTCTTCGGGGGCATCTGGACAGGAAGAGGCGCTCCCGGCAGGCCCCGATCCCCTCCTTCCCCACGGGGAGAGACGAGGGGTCTGACTTATAGGTTCCCCCATGGGGGGGGGTACTGTTTCCGGAATTCGTCAGGAAGCAGCAGAGTCAGGGTTGAACTCTGAGCTGGGAGTCAGGTTGACCTGGGTTCAAGTCCCGGCAGTCCTGGTTCAACCAGCCCCGGGCTGGTGACTACCTCTGGGCCTCAGTTTCCTCATGTGTGAAATGGGGAGAGCATCCCTAGCGCACTGCAAGTGCGGAGCACGCGTTCTGAAGAACGGGGCCGTGGAGTGGTTGTCAGCATCCTGTGGCCCGCCCCACCCCGGGGTGCTAAAAGACCCTGGTTCCCTGCAAGCCAGGGCAGCTCGTCACGGGTCAAGGTCTAGGCGGGCAGGCAGATGGGCCTGGAACGCAAGTTGAAGGTCAGAGAGGGGAAAGAAGGGTCTAGCTGGCTCTGCCGAGGCAGAAAAGTGTGGTCCCAGCCCCCAGGCCTCCCATCCGTCCTCCAATCTTGGGCCTGGTCAGACCCCAGGGCGGCAGGGCGGAGGGCGGCTCAGGAGCCCCGTCCGCTGACCAGCTCCTCTGCGCCCCAGCTCCTGGTGGAGCCCCGGCTCCGGGCGGCGCCCAGCCCGTCCGCATCGAGCCCTCCTCGTCTCACGTGGCCGAAGGGCAGACGCTGGATCTGAACTGCGTGGTCCCCGGGCAGGCCCATGCCCAGGTCACGTGGTACAAACGTGGTGGCAGCCTCCCCGCCCGGCACCAGGTAAAGCAGCGACCCCCCTACCACCGCCGCCCCCCACCCCGGGCCCCAGGCCAGCCTGCGGGAGGGGTTGGCTGGACGGAGCGGCTCCAGCCCCTTCCTGACCCTCCCTGGTTGCGCTCAGACCCACGGTTCGCTGCTGCGGCTGCACCGGGTGTCCCCGGCTGACTCAGGAGAGTACGTGTGCCGCGTGGTCCTGGGCTCTGGGCCCCTCGAGACCTCCGTCCTAGTCTCCATCGAGGCCTCCGACGCCGGCACCATCCCCGGTGAGTGGACGATCAGTGACAGGCTGGCGGGGCCCCAAGGGCCTTCCCGAGGGCTCATGACTTCTGTTGCTGACGTGGAGATCGGGGCTGGGAGGAGGCCCACGCTGGGGCTGGCCACAGGGCCCGGCCCAGGCGGCCTCCACGCTCCTGAGTAACCCGCCATCTTCACATCTCTGTTCTGTCTGGCCCACTCATGCACGTTCCTGCCCCTGCCTCTCTTCCTCCCTCCCAGCCTCAGTTATCCTCATCCTTCCCTCTTCCTCATGCCCCTCTGCAAGCCTGGGCTCCTGCCCCAGCCCCCTCCCCAAGGCTGGTCCGCTGAGGACCTCAAGCCCAGGAGGCCTCTAACTCTAAATGGCACCAGGCCGAGCCAACTCCAGGGTGGACGTTCTGGCCGTCTCCCCTGGGAGGCGTCTATGACCCGCCCCCTCTTCCCGCAGCCCCGGGACCTATCCCGCCCGTCAGGATTGAGTCCTCGTCCCCCACGGTGGCCGAGGGGCAGACCCTGGACCTGAACTGCGTGGTGGCAGGCCAGGCCCATGCCCCGGTCACGTGGTACAAACGTGGGGGCACCCTCCCAGCCCGGCACCAGGTACCTGGGGGCAGAAAGGTGGGAGGGGGCCGGTCAGGACTGCGTGGCAGACCACGGGGCGTGGAGGGAGCTGAGCTCCGAGGAACAGGGTACGGGGCGCCCGCCGGGCTCTGGGAAGCCCTCCGCTCACACCCCTGCTCGTGACTGTCCAGGTGCGTGGCTCCCGCTTGTACGTCTTCCAGGCCTCCCCAGCAGACGCAGGCGAGTATGTCTGCAGGGCCAGCAACGGTGTGGAGGCCTCCATCACAGTCACGGTCACCAAGACCCAGGGAGCCAACTTCGCCTACCGTGAGTGGGGCCAGCCGGCCTGGGCTTGGAGGGAAAAGAGGGGAAAGGCCAGGGCTGCTGCAAAGGACTGGAGTGACCAAGTGACCGTCTCCTCCCCCAGCTCCGGGCGGCGCCCAGCCCGTCCGCATCGAGCCCTCCTCGTCTCACGTGGCCGAAGGGCAGACCCTGGATCTGAACTGCGTGGTCCCCGGGCAGGCCCATGCCCAGGTCACGTGGCACAAGCGCGGGGGCAGCCTGCCCGTCCGGCACCAGGTACAGGCCTGGAGGATGGACAGACCGGGAAGGGGACGGGAGGGGGGCCGCCGGGAGCGGAGGTCAGGGGTGGGAGAGCTGGAGGCTCCTCTGAGACGGAGAGGCCCCGGACCCCTCTGCGCAGGTGATGCTCAGAACCCGGACGCTCTGGCCTGTCAGCCCTGGTGTGAGTGTGACTGCCGCTTCCACCACCTAGTCGCTTGTGGCCTTGGGCAAAGCACTTAATCTCTCTGTAGCACATTTTCAGCAACTGTAAAACGGTAACGATCGTACCAACCTTACAGAATTATCTTAAGGATGAAGTGAACGAATTTACCTGCAAAGTGCTCAGAGTTCTGGCTCACTGAAAGTGCTATGAGCTGTTATTAGTGTAGTATCATTAGCTGTTAGTATTGATATATTTTAGAGAATTTAGGATGCCACTGATTGCAAAATGCACTCTTATTTTATGTACCTCTGAGGCAAAAAAAAAAAAAAACCCTGCCATTTGTAATTGTAATTCACTATAAGATGCATAGTGATTTCAGAGACATGTAAAAGTATGTCTAGGGAATTCCCTGGCTGTCCAGTGGTTAGGACTGTGTTTTCACTGCCAAGGGCCTGGTTTCCGTCCCTGGTCGGAGAGCTGGGATTCCATAGGCCACACGGTGCCACCCAAAAAATAATAATAAAGCAAAAGTAATATGCGTGTTACCAGCTCCATCCTATTTTTTCTAATGTGTCCAGAAGTTGATGGAGTGTGGTGTTAGTGTTTGCTCAATTCCCCACGGCTTTTCCTGGTCACCCCCTGGTCCTGGGACGAGACAGTCACTTCACATCTGAGCAGGAGGGAGTCAAAAGTCAGCTCTCAGGCTCAGAGTGAGGCAGGGCTGCAGGTGATCGGTGTGAGGGTCCCAAGAGACCCCCCTCTGACCCTACCTCCGTTCTGGCCAGACCCACGGCTCCCTGCTGAGACTCCATCAGGTGTCCCCAGCCGACTCGGGCGAATACGTGTGCCGAGTGGTGGGCGGTTCAGTGCCCCTGGAGTCCTCTGTCCTGGTCAGCATCGAGCCTGCAGACTCTGTGCCTGGTAAGTGGTGCGGGGTTTGGCGGGGGCGGGGGGGGGGCGGTGCTTCCCACTCCAGCAAAGGCAGGACCCCAGAGACCAGCAGCCCCCTACCTCCACTCACACCCTCCCCTCCCCGCCTCCTCCCAGCTGGGGATTCACTCTCTGGCCTCTGTCCCCAGCACTGGGGGTCACCCCCCCGGTCCGGATCGAGTCATCCTCCTCACACGTGGCTGAAGGACAGACCCTGGATCTGAACTGCCTGGTTTCTGGGCAGCCCCACGCCCAGGTCACATGGCACAAGCGTGGGGGCAGCCTTCCCGCCCGGCACCAGGTAGGAGGCGGGGAGCTACGGGGGGACCCTCGAGACCGCGGAGTGAGGAGCTTTGAGTTCAGATATTGCTCTGCCAGCTTGCCTGGCCAGTCCTTTGACTTCCCCGAGCCTCAGTGTCCTCATCTGTCAAATGGGCTCACACTGCCTAGCTCACCTGCTCCATAGTGAAAGTGAAAGTTCACGTGGCTCAGTCGTGTCCGACTCATTGCGACCCCATGGACTGTATAGTCCATGGAATTCTCCAAGCCAGAATACTGGAGTGGGTAGCCTTTCCCTTCTCCAGGCGATCTTCCCAACCCAGGGATCAAACCCAGGTCTCCCGCATTGCAGGCCAATTCTTTACCAGCTGAGCTCCCAGGGAAGCCCAAGAATACTGGAGTGGGTAGCCTATCCCTTCTCCAGCAGGTCTTCCCGACCCAGGAATCGAACCGGGATCTCCTGCATTGCAGGCAGATTCTTTGCTAACTGAGCTATTATGGAATCCACCTGCTCCATCAGACATCCACAAATGCTGGTCCCCCACTTCCTCCCACTAGACCCAGTTCCAAAACCCCATCAAGGGAGCTGAAGGGTCCTGAATGCTGGTTCTCCCAGGAAGAGCTCTCCTAGGCTCTATCAGGCTGGGGGGGCGGGGGCCAGGGAAGAGAGCCTGAACTGTGAGCCCCAAGTGCAGCCCTGAGCCCACCCGCCCTCCCAGGTGCACGGCTCCAGGCTGCGGCTGCCCCAGATGACGCCAGCGGACTCTGGGGAGTACGTGTGCCGCGTGGTCAGCGGCTCAGGCACCCAGGAAGCCTCAGTCCTGGTCACCATCCAGCAGCGCCGCGGCCCCACCCGCTGTGAGTGTCTCAGGGTCCCCGCAGACGGGCTGGGAGGGGCCGCGCCACCCCCGCTGGCTCCCACACCCTGACTCCCGTCTCTCCCCCGCTCCCAGACCAGAACGTGGTGTACCCCGTCCGCATCGAGTCCTCCTCTGACTCCCTGGCCAACGGGCGCACCCTGGACCTCAACTGCCTGGTGGCCAGCCAAGCCCCCCATACCATCACCTGGTACAAGCGCGGAGGCAGCCTCCCTAGCCGGCACCAGGTACGGAACCAGCGAGCGGGGAGGGCACACGCCGGGGGGCGTGACCGGCCCCGACGGCAATCGGGAGGAGCTCCGCACAGCCCCCTCTGTGCTCACTGAGTCAGCCAACACACGCCGAGCGCTCTTGCCGAGGGGCCCTGGGCCAGTGCTGGGGACACGGGGAGGAGTCCCACTGACCTCCGTGGGTCCTGTAGAGACCGTTCTGTGACTCACTCACTCCTGGCCCCTCCCTGAGAACCTGCTCCAGGCCACGTCCCACTCCCGCCACTAATTCTAAGGGGGTGAGAGCAGGGCATGCCCTCGGGTAGCTCAAAGACCAACGGGGAAGGCAGGTGTGCCGGAGGACAGCAGTGTAGTGGAGTCCCCACGGAGGGCCTCGGCGGGCTTGCTGCAGGGGGGACGGCTGAGAAACAGTGCAAAGGCTGGAGGCGCCCCGCGCACCCAGCCCAGAAGCGCAGGAAGGCCGTTGTCGGAGTTCAGAAGGAGACTGGGGGGCGGGGGGGCTGGCCCCGCCCAGCAAGGCAGCGAGGCTGCCAGAGTCTGGGAGAGATGGAGGGGCCGCCCCCCCACCCCACTGACACCCGCTCCGCCTTAGATCGTGGGCTCCAGGCTCCGGATCCCCCAGGTGACACCCGCGGACTCGGGTGAGTACGTGTGTCACGTCAGTAACGGCGCCGGCTCCCAGGAGACCTCACTCATCGTCACCATCCAGGGTAGTGACTCCTCCCACGGTGAGCACTCCGGGGGCAGGGGGGCAGGCGGGTGGGTGCCGGGGGAGGCAGTGGGGTCCGGGCCCAGTCACTGCCGTCTGACTCCGGCTGTGTGGTCTGTTTCCCTCGGTCCCCAGTGCCCAGCGTCTCCCCGCCGATCAGGATCGAGTCCTCGTCCCCCACGGTGGTCGAAGGGCAGACCCTGGATCTGAACTGCGTGGTTGCTGGGCAGCCCCAGGCCACCATCACCTGGTACAGGCGTGGGGGCAGCCTTCCCGCTCGACACCAGGTACGGAGCGGAGCCCGGCCGTGGGGCGGGCAGCTCGGGGACAGCCCCCAGGGCAAACGGCTCAAAGCATTAGCTGGCAGTACTTCCTCCTGCCTGAGGCAGACAGAGGGTGGCCTCAGCCGGTCTGATGGAGACCCCCAGCCCCTCAAACCCCCCCCGCCCCGTCTCTGCACCCCCAGGCCCACGGCTCCCACCTGAGGCTGCACCAGATGTCCGTGGCGGATTCAGGCGAGTATGTGTGCCGGGCCAACAACAACATCGATGCCCTGGAGGCCTCCATCATGGTCTCAGTCTCTCCCGGCACTGGTCGCCCCTCTGGTGAGTCGAATGAATGACCCAGGAAGGGAGTGGGAGATGCTGGTACCCGTGTTGCCTCGAGAGGAAGGGCTCTGTAATCAGGGCCCTCAGACGAGGGGGTGGTCCAGGATGAGGGCTCCCCAGAAAGGTGCCTGGGTTCACATCCTGCCAGCACCACTGAGGACCTTGAGAGAGAGACTCCCCTCTCGGCTTCGGTACCCTCGTCAGTGAAGCGGGGATATGGGTCATTTCAGCCTCAGAGAGCTGTCCCCTACAGTGGCCACTAGCCAGCCACACTTGGTCACTTAAACTAGTTCAAATTCTAAATTCACACCTTCATGTTTCAATAACCAAGTGCGCAGGAGCTGAACTAGCTGGTAGCCGCTACTATATCAGACAGTGTGGGTGGTAAATATTCCCATCATCGCAGGAAGTCAGTGAGTTTTGTAAGGATGACATGAGTTGATAATACACAGAAAGCACGTAGAACAGTGCCTGGCATCCTGTAAGTGCATAACTGTTAGCTAGCATTCCTACCTGGAGAAGGCAATGGCACCCCACTCCAGTACTCTTGCCTGGAAAATCCCATGAATGGAGGAGCCTGGTAGGCTACAGTCCATGGGGTCGCACAGAGTCGGACACGAATGAAGTGACTTAGCAGCAGCAGCATTCCTACCTGGGGGCAGTGGGAGTTTCTCCAGTCAAGGCTCCCAAACATGACTTAGGACCAAAGCCCCGGCTCTCTGTCTCTGCACCCCCAGGCCCTGGCGGGACCATGCCCATCAGAATCGAGTCGTCATCTTCACACGTGGCTGAAGGGCAGACCCTGGATCTGAACTGCGTGGTCCCTGGCCAGGCCCACGCCCAGGTCACGTGGCACAGGCGTGGAGGCAGCCTCCCCGCTCACCACCAGGTCAGGGAGTGAGTGGGGGGCAGAACCTAGTAGGAGGGATGCTGGATGTGGGGGCCCCGGCTGGGGGCCTGTCCCTCACGCCCTGCCCGGGAAGGAGACCTGGGAGCCCCCCCGTGGGACGCAGGGCCTGCCGGGGTCAGAGGCTGAACCCCGGGCCCCAGCCTCTGAGAGCTGACTCTCCGCGCCGCCTCACTTCTGCTTCCCTCCCGCCCCGCCCCCCCAGACCCACGGCTCACGGCTGCGGCTGCACCGGGTGTCCCCGGCTGACTCCGGCGAGTACGTGTGCCGCGTGCCCCTCGGCTCGGGGCCTCTGGAGGCCTCCGTCCTGGTCACCATTGAAGCTTCCGGCTCTGGCACCGTTGTCGTCCCCGGTGAGGATCCCTGCGGAGGGGCTGGGAGGCTGGTGGAGGGAGGAGAGGAGCGGACTGAGGTCGGGAGCCAGACCCAGCGGGTTTCGCCCTCGGGGGCCCGAGAACACGGAGCGGAGAGTCTGGCTTGTGTGGCTTGAGCCCCCACCCCTCTGTCCGCACTCTGAAATGTCCCACGAGCGACTCCTGTGTGTCCCTTTCCGCATCTGTAAAGTGGGGCTGGGACGGCCCTTGCAACAATGACACAAGTTCCTTAAAAGGCAGCACCTTGCACCTCTGGGGTCAGAGAGGGTGATTTTAGGTGGTACCCTGATAAACATCTTTTACATCGATGGTGGTATACTAGGCAAAAAACAGCAACAGACCTGTCATAATTGTGTGGAAATCATTGCCTATAGTGGGGCTGTGTATTTAAGGGTCATCTTCAGTGAATCACTTAAAAAGGAAAATGGAAAGGAATTAACAGCTCAGGGAGCATGTGGCTTTAAGAGGATTCATGATAACAGTACCTGAGCTGCTAAGTGATGAACATGATACACGCTTACCAGGAGGTGGGCCCCTGCATATTGACACATAGGAACTCATTTCACCCTCACAGTAAACTTGTGAGGTTGGTATGATGGTTCTCTCTGTTTTACAGATAGGTAAACTGAGGCATGGAGAGGTTTTTTTTTTTTTTTTTTTTTTCTTTTTGTTTTGTTTTTTAAAAATAACTTTTCCAAAGGTCACACAACTATAAATGGCAGGGCTGGGTTTTGAGCTCAGGCAGTGTGGCCCCAGAGTCTGGGTTCTTAGCCACGTACTATGCAAGTCCAGGAAACATTAGTGATCCGTGTGGAGGGCCCCAGCCCTGAGCCCCGGCCGCCTGCGACACTGCGAGCTCAGGAGACGGAGGCCGTCGTCTAGAGAATGAGGCACCTCTGTGCCCCTGGCTAACCCAGCTGCTCCAGGCCTCAGGGGAACGGGAAGAGGGGGGACTGTCATCCCGTAGCCTCTGGTCTGAACACTTGGGCACCCAGGGGCAGGGGCTGAGGACACAGGGAGTCCCAGCTCACCGACTTCTTCCTGTGGGCCAGCCCCAGGCGGAGTGCCTCCCATCCGCATCGAGACCTCCTCCTCCCACGTGGCTGAAGGGCAGACCCTGGATCTGAAATGCGTGGTGCCCGGCCAGGCCCACGCCCAGGTCACCTGGCACAGGCGTGGAGGCAGCCTTCCTGCTCGGCACCAGGTATGGAGGCTGGAGAAAGCAGGGTACGGGCACTCCCTCCCTGCTCTGTCCCCTGCTCAGGAGGGCACGTGGCCCCGGCATATTCAAGGCTCCAGGAAAAATGGCAGCAGAAGATCACTGGGAGTTGGGGCCAAGGGCAAGGTGGACATGGTTGCGCTAAACCCTTCATACCAAGGGCTGCCCAGCACCTTGGTATGAATGAGGAAAAGGCACCTCTTGGACTTCCCCAGCGGTTAAGACTCCAGTGCAGGGGGAATGGGTTCAGTCCCTGGCTGGGGAATGAATATCCAACAGGCTGCAGAGTATGGCCAGAAATTAAGAAAAAACAGAAAAGAGAGAGGGACACTCTTACTCATGACACTGCTTCCTCCTGCCAGGAAACAGTGTAATAGTAAACATCCTCCGCAGGGTCCAATGTCAGAGGGGGGGTCGCCTTTGACAGGAGACCGCCTCCGCAGTGGCCCGGGACGGCTCCGGGGTGCGGGTGTCAGAGGGCTGGGGCAGCCGAAAGCCTTGGCTGCCAGCCCCCGCCCCAGTTCACCCTCCCCACCCTGGCCAGGTCCACGGCCCCCTGCTGAGGCTGAACCACGTGTCCCCCGCCGACTCTGGCGAATACTCCTGCCAAGTGACCGGCAGCTCAGGCACCCTGGAGGCTTCCGTCCTGGTCACGATCGAGGCTTCCAGCCCCAGTCCCATTCCTGGTGAGTGACAGGAGCCGCGGGTTGGTGCTGGGGCACAGGCTTCGGGCCCCTTCCTGGCCTTGTTCCTCCTGTTCTCCCACAGGGTTCTAGCCCTTTGCTCTAGGAAGGTCCCCAACCACTGGGGACCACGGTCTCACGTGGCATCCCAGCCCCCAGGGGACTGAGACCCTTCTTAATTCAATGACACTCAGTCATGTCAGCTGCTCTCAAGCCAGCGCACCTCCTAGGAACGCCCGCTGGCGCTCACTGCCCCCCCATCACCTTCGGTGTCTGCCTGCACCCCCAGAGCCTCGCCTTTCTCACCCACCACCCACTGTGTCCACAGCCCCGGGACTCGCCCAGCCCATCCACATCGAGGCCTCCTCCTCTCACGTGACCGAAGGGCAGACCCTGGATCTGAACTGTGTGGTACCCGGGCAGGCCCACGCCCAGGTCACGTGGTACAAGCGCGGGGGCAGCCTGCCCGCCCGGCACCAGGTACGGTGCCCTGGATGGGGAGGAATCCAGAGCGGGTCGGGTCTGACCTGTGGTTACCTTCTGCCTCCCCGACCTTCTCCATACAAACCCCGGCCTGCCTGGGGACCCCAGGGGATCAAATACTTGTGCGCAAGGAGTTGTCACCAGCCAGAGAGTCAAGAGACCTGGGTTCTTCTCCTGGCTCTGCTGCTGAATCATCTCCTGAGCCAGTTTCTCCGTCTACAAAGGGGATATGTGGGACTTGTAGGCATCTATGAACCATCCCCCCGCCCCCCGCAGTTGGAGCTCTGAGCTCCTGAGACCCAAGGGAGAACTCCTTACACGCTGGCACGGCTGGGCTTGGGGGCTTGCCCTGCCCCTAGTGCTTTGACACGACAGCCACACTCCCTCATTCCGACAGACCCACGGCTCCCGGCTACGGCTCCACCACGTCTCCCAGTCTGACTCCGGAGAATACGTGTGCCGCGTGATTGACGGGTCAGGGTCCGAGCAGGAAGCCTCCTTCACTGTCACTGTCCCACCCAGTGCGGGGTCCTCCTACCGTGAGTGAGGCAGACGCCATGGGCCAGGGGAGGCGGGGGGACCCTGGAACCCACATAGCCCTGTCCAGCCCAGCCCTCTGCCCCCCAGGTCTTAGGAGCCCTGTGATCTCCATCGACCCGCCCAGCAGCACCGTGCAGCAGGGCCAGGATGCCAGCTTCAAGTGCCTCATCCATGACGGGGCAGCCCCCATCAGCCTTGAGTGGAAGACTCGGAACCAGGAGCTGGAGGGTGAGCTGGACCGGGTGCGGGGGGTGCTGGAGATGGGTACAAATGCATGATGACCACCACTGGAGGCTGGGCAGAGCTGACCCTGGCACCAAACTCACTGTGTGACCCTGGGTAGAGCCCTTCCCCCTGGGGTCTGGGTGCCCCGATGTGGATGGAGACAGGGCCGGACCCAGAAGTGTCTCCATCTTCATCAGCCATCTGTGACCTCGTGAGCTGGATACACCCAGACTGGAGGGGTCGGGGCAGAGGGTGCTGGTGCGCCTCCTGGCAGCTCCCAGCCAGGAGGACACCCTCACTGACTGTACCCTCCCTGACGCCAGACAACGTCCGCATCAGCCCCAACGGCTCCATCATCACCATCGTGGGCACCCGGCCCAGCAACCACGGTGCCTACCGCTGCGTGGCCTCCAATGCCTACGGCGTGGCCCAGAGTGTCGTGAACCTCAGCGTACACGGTGAGAGCCTTCGGCCCCACGGCTCTGCCTCCCCGTTTCCAGCCCCGATTCCGAGCTCAGAAGCCCCAGGCTTAAACCCCGCCTCTGCCCCTTGCCACTCTCTGGGGCGTGCTCCCTCTCTGAGCCTCAGTCTCTTCGTGGGTACAGTGGGGAGACCAGTGCCCACTGGCAGTTGGCGACAAGGGCCTGTGACAGGGCACGTGAGCAGCAGGGCCCCGCATGTGTACCAGCGGTGCCATTCCTCTGGACAGGGCCCCCTACGGTGTCCGTGCTCCCCGAGGGCCCTGTGCGCGTGAAGCTGGGGAAGGACGTCACCCTGGAGTGTGTCAGTGGCGGGGAGCCCCGCTCGTCCGCTCGCTGGACCCGGATCGGCGCCCCCACCCACTTGGAGCAGCGGGCGCATGGGCTCCTGGACAGTCACACAGTGCTGCAGGTGAGGCCAGGGGCGTCTCATCTCTGGATCTGAGGCCCAGTCAGAGCCCATCCTTGAGCAGATACTTGGAGGAGAGAGTGGTGGGTCACCAGATGGGTGATGAATTGATGGAGAAAGGGAGGGTTAGGTGGATGATGGGTAGATTGGAAGACAGTCAGGAAGAAAGAAGGAAAGTGGGGAAAAGGGGAGGAGGAAGGAGTGGATTGCAGGATGGGTGGTGGGGTGGGTGGGTGGGTGGATAGATGGGTGGATAGGTGGGTGGATGGATGGGTGGGTAGATGGGTGGATGGTATGTGGATGGATGGATGGATGGGTGGGTGGGTGGAGGCATGGGTGGATGGTATGTGGATGGATGGATGGATGGGTGGCTGGGTGGGTAGATGGGTGGATGGTATGTGGATGGATGGATGGATGGATGAGTGGATGGGTGGGTGGGTGGGTAGATGGGTGGATGGTATGTGGATGGATGGATGCATGGGTGGGTGGGTAGATGAGTGGGTGAATGGATGGTTTGTGGGTGGATGGATGAGTGGGTGGATGGTATATGGATGGATGAACAGAGGGGTGGGGGATGGACAGTAAATGCATGGACTGGTGGGACGTCTTGAGTGTGATCCCTCAAGCAGCCAATCAAATAGGAACGCTGAAAACGGATGAACAAGTAGAGGAGTTTAAAACCAAGCCAAAGCCAGGGGCTGATGCCAAGGCCCCCCTCGTGGCCACCATAACCAAGACCCTTGCTTCTGCCAGATTTCATCAGCTAAACCGTCAGATGCGGGCACCTACGTCTGCCTAGCTCAGAATGCACTGGGCACAGCACAGAAGCGAGTGGAAGTGATTGTTGACACGGGCGCCGTGGCCCCAGGGGCCCCCCAGGTCCAGGTGGAAGAAGTCGAGCTGACCGTGGAAGCCGGACACACGGCCACCCTGCGCTGCTCAGCCACAGGTGCAGACGGGTGCGGGCCCACGAGGCGGGCGGAGCCGCGGGCCTGGAATTTAGACATCTTTGGAGACCCAAAGACGATGTCATGCCCAGGGACGGGACAGTCACCCGGCGATGGCTGAGGGGCCTGCTTAGTGGCCCCGATGAAGGAGCAAGCTCACCCAGGTCCCTTCCTGACCACGTCACCCCCCCAGCCAGTCCTGGGGGACAGCCTATACCAACCTCTGCCGCTCCACTCCGCAGGCAGCCCCAAGCCCACCATCCATTGGTCCAAGCTGCGCTCCCCGCTGCCCTGGCAGCACCGGCTGGAAGGTGACACGCTCATCATCCCGCGGGTGGCCCAGCAGGACTCGGGCCAGTACATCTGCAACGCCTCCAGCCCAGCCGGGCACGCGGAGGCCACCGTCGTCTTGCACGTAGAGAGTAAGGCCCTAGCCCACCCTCCCCAGGCTACCTTTTCTGCACCGCATGGAGGTCTGAGCGCCCCCCACCATCCCCCAGCCAGGCTCCACCCTGGACAGAACCCCGGGAGCCCCATCTGGAGGGTCGCAGGCCCCTCAGGCCCCGGGAGCCTGCCCTCCCCAAACACGCACATCCCCGCCTGGGACCTGGCTCTCCCTCACCCCCAGTCCTCGGGGCTCAGCGTCCTTCAGCTTCGCTGGTCTCTTGGCCAGTTGCCGGGGCCCAGCGCCAGCTGCCACCCTGACTCTGTGTCCCCCCGCCGACCCCAGGCCCGCCCTACGCCACCACCGTCCCAGAGCAGGCCTCGGTGAGAGCCGGGGAGGCCGTGCAGCTGCAGTGCCTGGCTCACGGGACGCCCCCGCTGACCTTCCAGTGGAGCCGCGTGGGGGGCCACCTCCCGGCGGGGGCCGTCGCCAGGAACGAGCTGCTCCTGTTCGAGGCTGCGGCCCCCGAGGACTCGGGCCGCTATCGCTGCCAGGTCACCAACAAGGTGGGCTTGGCCGAGGCCTTCGCCCAGGTGCTCGTCCGAGGTGAGCGGCCCTGGCTCAGGCTGGGCAGGACGGGGGTCCGTTTTTCCTCTAGGCGTTTGTCAGAGCCCTTCACTTACCCCGCAGCAGGAGGCTCACTTGGGGCATAAAGACCCCCCCCCCCCGATTACTCTAGCAGGAACGCCTGCCTTTCCCCTGTTCCCCAAGGCCTGAGTCAGGCCTGCCTCCTCCAGAAAGACCCGTCTCACTGTTCTTAGCACCTGTAGCTCTCACCGCTGTGTCCCCACCCCCTCCTGGATATTGACCTCACACTGCCGTGTTTACATAAGCACCCCAGCCTGCCTCACCTGCCTGACTGGACAATCAGGGCAGGGCCTAAATCCAGACCTAGCAGCTCCAGGCTTGTCCACCCACAGCACCCGGAACGGGCTGTGTAAATGCCGGACGGTGACCACAACGAACGTGTGATGGGGCAGCACCCCGCCCTGGCTTCCCAGGGTCTCAGCAGGTTGCCAGGGAATCCAGTATCTCCGTGGTCTCCTCTGGAGCCCCAGGCCAGAGTGAGCCCGGGTCCTGGGTTCAATGCCCCAGCTCCTTTGCCTGATGGCTGCGTGACCTTGGCCAAGTCAGGGGACCTCAAGCTTCATTGTTTTCATCCTGTCGAGTAGAGAGGACAAGACTAGCACATAGGCTGACTTGGAAAGATACACGGACGTGGAGCCTAGAGCAGGTCATAGGCACTTGGTAAATGGTGGTCACGTGCATTTGACCCGCTCACCTACCTGAATAGGTAGGTGCCTTCACCTGGGATCTTCCTATTTTCTGTGAATTTTTGTTCGCTTATTGATTGATTGATTTTTGGCTGTGATGGGTCTTCACTGCTTTGCAAGGGCCTTCTCAAGTTGCAACGAGAGGGGGCTTCTCTCGCGCGGCGCAGTGACCTCTCTCGTTGCGGAGGACAGGCTCTGCGGCACAGGGGCTTTTGTAGCTCCGGCCTGCGAGCTCGGTAGTTGCAGCTCCTGGGCTCCAGAGCACAGGCTTCGGTAGCTGTGGTGCGTGGGCTTAGTTGCTCGGCGGCAAGTAGCGCCTTCCTGGACCAGGGATCAAACCCATGTCCCCTGCACTGGCAGGCGGATTCCTATCCCCTGCACCACCAGGGAAGCCCCCTCCTATTTTAGACTAGGGCCAGAATAGCCTTTGCTGTCCTTCCTTCAAATGTCTGAATCTTTCTAAGACCGACCCTTCCCGCCCTGACCTTGGGCTGCCCTCCCTGCTCCCGAGGGCCAGGAGCTTGTGAAAGTGCAGTCCCGCACTCCACAGGCTTTTTTTCTTTCATACGCATCTATTTGGCTGCATTGGGTCTTAATCGCAGCACACAGGACCTTCCGTTGCAGCGGGCGGTCGTCTCTAGTCGTGACCCAGGCTCTGCAGTCTTTGCTTGCAGGCTTAGTTGTCCTGCGGCACGTGGAACCTCAGTTCCCTGCCCAGGGGTTGAACCTGCGTCCCTTGCCTTGGGAGGTGGATTCTTCCTCACTGGACCACCAGAGAAGTCCCCACGGACCCTTATATGTGTTGATTAAATGACTAACCAAGTGAGCGGGTGAATGAATCTGCCAGTGAAAGGTCTTTTTACTCTGGTCAGAGAGGCAAACGGGAGAAGGTCCTTGGAAAGTTAGGATGGGGGGTTCCTGGGTCCTGGCGCAGCATTGGGGATGTCACACGCACACACTCACACACACACACACACACACACACTCTCACAACCTCATACCTGTCCCCACAGGCCCCTCCGGCTCTCTCCCCGCCACGCCCACACCAGCAGGACCCGCACCCACCGTCCAGGTCACGCCTCAGCTGGAGACCAAGAGCATAGGGGCCAGCGTGGAGTTCCACTGTGTTGTGCCCAGCGACCCAGGCACCCAGCTCCGCTGGGTCAAGGAAGGGGGTCCGCTGCCTCCGGGCCACAGCGTGCACGATGGGGTGCTCCGGTGAGTGGGGGTGGGGCGCGCCAGCCCGAGGCACACAGGGGGGCTGTTAGAATCCCTGCCCCACGGGGAGGGCTTAGCGTGACACGATGGCCTTGAGACGTGACTTCACCCCCCTGAGCCTCAGAGCTGCCGGTCGTGCAGGGGGTTATGCGAGACCCCGGAGCACTGAGCTCGGCGCTCAGCAGAGGAGGGGCCTGCAGCCCTCAGCGGCCCGTGTCTGTGCTGTTGTTAAAGGAAAGCCGAACAGGCTCTGAGGCCAGACACAGACACCTGGCCAGATTGCAGCTCCGCAGCCTGAGAACTGTGTGGCCTTGAGCTCTGGACCAGAAGGTCTGTGGTGTGAAATGGGCATGGTGACACTCGCCCTGCCTGCCTGCCTGTCTCCCAGGGCTCTGGGGAGACTAGAGATTTACATCCTGTGCTGATCTCTGACAGCTTTTAACGCCGTTGCCACATATTCTCAGCAATTGTTTTTATTCACTGATGTCTTATTTGTTTCTTCACAGAATCCAGAACTTGGACCAGAATTGCCAAGGAACCTATGTGTGCCAGGCCCAGGGGCCATGGGGACAGGCCCAGGCCAGTGCCCAGCTGGTTGTCCAAGGTAGGAGGGTGGCTTCAGGCTTCTGCTAAGAGCAGGGGACAGAGAGGAAAGGGGTAGGGACCATACTCCCCAAGCAACCCCTTGAGTGAGTGAGTGATAGTCGCTCAGTCATGTCCAGCTCTTTGTGACCCCATGGACTATAGCCACCAGGCTCCTTTGTCTGTGGAATTTTCCAGGCAAGAATACTGGAGTGGGTTGCCATCTCCTTCTCCAAAGAAACCCCTTAAATGTGTACAAATAAAGAGAATTATTTGATTGTATCTTGCTTGCATCTGGGCTTCCCTGGTGGCTCAGCTGGAAAAGAATCCGCCTGCAATGCAGGAGACCTGGGTTCCATCCCTGGGTGGGGAAGATCCCCTGGAGAAGAGAATGGCTACCCACTCCAGTATTCTGGCCTGGAGAATTCCACAGACTGTATAGTATCCAGGGGGTGGTAAAGAGTCGGACACGATAGAGCGACTTTCACTAGCAGAGCGTAAGGGGGTTTATGAATCTTGCAAAGGAGAGGGGGAGAAGGAAGATGCGCAGAGTTTGTGGGTGCTTAGATAAACCAGTGAAAATGACGACAGATGCACCCGTGAGGAAGTGAATGAACAAAAGAGCAAACAAGTGCTTGTGCTAATGAGTGGGCGCAGGAAAAGGCAAGTGAAATGCTGGTGACGTGGGGCTGCAGTGTCCACCTGTCCCGGGGGCATCTGCAGCCTCCCTGCCCAGGCCCCAGCCGGCCGGCCTCACCCCATCTGCCGCCATCCTCCCCAGCTCTGCCATCCGTGCTCATCAACATCCGGACCTCTGTGCAGTCCGTGGTGGTCGGCCATGCCGTGGAGTTCGAGTGCCTGGCCCTGGGGGACCCCAAGCCCCAGGTGACGTGGAGCAAAGTGGGCGGGCGCCTGCGGCCGGGCATCGTGCAGAGTGGAGGTGTCGTCAGGATCGCGCACGTGGAGCTGGCTGACGCAGGGCAGTACCGCTGCACCGCCACCAACGCCGCGGGCACCACCCAGTCCCACGTGCTGCTGCTCGTCCAGGGTGAGGGCCGCCGGGGGGTGCTCAGCCGCCCCTGCCCGCCTTGCCCTCCTCCTTCCTCCCGCTCTCGCAGGGGCTTTCAGCTCAGTGTCTTTAGGGAGCTGGTTTCCTAACAAGCAGGGCTTCCCTCATAGCTCATTTGATAAAGAATCCGCCTGCAATGCAGGAGACCCCAGTCCAATTCCTGGGTCAGGAAGATCCCCTGGAGAAGGGCTAGGCTACCCACTCCAGTATTCTTGGCCTTCCCTCGTGACTCAGCTGGTAAAGAATCCACCAGCAATGTGGGAGACCTGGGTTTGATCCCTGGGTTGGGAAGATCCCCTGGAGAAGGGAAAGGCTACCCACTCCAGTATTCTGGCCTGGAGAATCCCATGGACTCTATAGTCCATGGGGTCACAGAGACACGACTGAGCGACTTTCACTTTCACTTTTCCTAACAAGCAAGTGCAGCAGGGGACAGACATGAGTGGTCCTCTGGGGCGGCTGGAACTTTCAGGGAAACCTGTGCCATGGGGCATCAAGAGAAAATCAGACGCGTAGTCCTCACCTGCAGGAGAGCCTTGCTCTCTGAGGGCCCTGCAGCCCAGACTGATGGCAGAGACAACACAGATGCAAAGCAGACAGTAAAACATGAGATTTCCCTGGTGGCCCAGTGGTTACGACTTTGTGCTTCCACTCCCAGGCGTGAGGGTTCAGTCCACTGGTCAGGGAGCTAAGATCTCACATGCCACATGGCATGGCAAGAAAGATTTTTAAATTGAAACAGAGAAGTGAATCCTGGGCATAGATGATGCCAGGCAGTTATAATCTGTGTGTTCTTCAAAAACTATTCCTTTTCACCCCAAGCCCTCTGCCTCGCCCCCAAACTTACCCCTGCTGCCCCAGCACCCCCTTCTCAGGTCCCCCGAGGGCTGCGCGGTGTTCCAGCCGGTGTGTCTTCGCGGCTCAGTCTGGAGTCAGCTGGACACGTCCATGAGCCCTGGCTCTGCCTGGTTCCATCGCTGCAACCAGGAGTGAACGGCTACTTTCCCTCCCAGACACAGCTTCCTCATCTGTGAAATGGGGACACAGTGCCTCCCTCCCAGGGAGGGTGTGAGGATTAAAAGTCAGGCAGTGGCCGTCATCAGACTGACGGCCTGCGTCTCCCTCCTTCCTCTCAGCCTTGCCCCAGATCTCAACGCCCCCTGAGGTCCGCGTGCCCGCGGGTTCTACAGCTGTCTTCCCTTGCATGGTGTCTGGCTACCCCGCTCCTGAAATCACCTGGAGCAAGGTAACGGCTGGGCAGGGGGCCGCCAGGCGTGCCTGAGTGGCCGGGGCCAGGTCTTCCCTGTGTCGCTGTCCCCAGGACCCCCAGGCTTGGCACGGAGTCTGCGCTCCGGGTCTGAGGGTGGGGGCCCCAGGCGGGGGGTGGGGGGCAGGCCCCACGGAGGTGCGGGCCGCGGCCAGGGGTCACGGTGCCGGCACGTCTGCAGGTGGACGGGAACCTGCCGCCCGACAGCCGCCTGGAGAACCACATGCTGCTGCTGCCCTCGGTGCGGCCCCAGGACGCGGGCACATATGTCTGCACCGCCTCCAACCGCCAGGGCAAGGTCAAGGCCTTCGCCCAGTTGCAGGTGCCAGGTGAGACCACCCACCCCTACCCCTGCCCCGCCGGGGGAGCGGCCGCACCCTGCGCGCCGCCTGGGGGGCGTGTCGTCTCCAACTCTGCTTTCTGCCTGCAGAGCGCGTGGTACCCTACTTCACGCAGACCCCCTACTCCTTCCTGCCGCTGCCCACCATCAAGGACGCCTACAGGAAGTTTGAGATCAAGATCACCTTCCGGCCGGACTCTGCGGACGGTGAGCCGCGGGAGCGGAGTTGATGCTGGGGATCTCCGTGGTCCCTGCCAGCGTGGCACCAGCCCTGGCAGCCGCTGGTCCTCGGACCGCCCCCCCACCCCGGTCCCGGGGCCCCCAGGCCTGCTGGGCGCCCCCTCTCTGGCTCTCTCCTCCGCCTTGCTTCTCCATCCGCTTCTCTGAGATGCCTGCACCCAAGCCTCCTGCCTCCAAGTCTGCCACGGATGCAGCTGCCCCTGCCCTCCTGCCCCACCTCCCTCCTCCTGCCTCCGCTCCCTCGTCCCTCCTCCCCCCATCACCCTTTCCTCCCCTCTCTCTCTCTCTCTCATCTGTCTCCTCCCTCCTCTTACGGGTCTCTGACTTGCACTGTCCAGGCCTTCTGCTCTACTCTGGTGAGTCTCTCTGCTTCCCTCTCCTTCTTCAGGTTGACCCTCCCTCGTAAGTGGAGCAAGTTCAGCTTCTTTCTAGGGACTCTCAGCAAGGCCCTTCTATCTCGGGCCCCGTCCTGAGAGTGAGACGCCCTGGCTGCGTGGGGTGTGCATGAGGGAGGGGCGGGCTCCCCAGCTCGGGGCGGGTGGTGGGGTGGTGGGCATGGACGGAGAGACCCTCACACAGCCATGCCCGCCAGGGATGCTGCTATACAACGGGCAGAAGCGGATCCCAGGGAGTCCCGCCAACCTGGCCAACAGGCAGCCCGACTTCATCTCCTTCGGCCTCGTGGGCGGGAGGCCCGAGTTCCGGTGAGGACCCTCACCCTCCGCATTTATGGGGGAAGGGGGCGCTGGGGGACTAGACTGCAGGACTTCCCATCAGGGGCGTGCCACCCCCGGGTTCTAGAAGAAGGAGATGTGGCTGTTATCCTCGATGACCTCCGTTCTGCCGGGGCCAGCACAGCCCACTGGCCGGTGTTGGAGGAGGCAGCCTCAGACCTGCACAAAAGTGCAGCAGGAACACTCAGGGATGCTGAGAGCGACCTTCCAGGGCAGGGCTGCTGCAGGCCAGAGCTCCTTCATGCATTCATTCATTCAGCAATCATTTGCTGAATGCCTACTGTGTGTCGGGTGTCAATAAAGAGATAAACACAACGGATCAAGTTCTGGCCCTTGTGGGAATGTAATGTCCCGGTTGGGGGAGACCAGCCACAAACTAAGAAGGAAAGAAACATGATCACAGAGAGAGGATCCTCAGATGAGGAGTGAGGCCGCGTGCTAGGCTGCAGGGGCCTGGAGCCAGGCGCACTTGGAGCCCCGGGGTGGCTCTGGACAAGCTCTCCGGGAAACGGTGTAACGGGGAGAAGGGTTGGGGGGGGCAGGGGCAGGGCAGGCGGGGAGGCCGGCAATGGCATGGACCCCTTTGCTGGCCTGGGGCCCTCCCTACAGACCCCACATCCTCTCTCTCCTGCCCTGCCCCCCGACCCCTGCCTCGTGGAGCAGGTTTGACGCAGGCTCGGGCATGGCTACCATCCGCCACCCCACGCCACTGGCCCTGGGCCAGTTCCACACCGTGACCCTGCTGCGCAGCCTCACCCAGGGCTCCCTGATCGTGGGCAGCCTGGCGCCGGTCAACGGCACCTCGCAGGTGAGACCCAGCCCCGTCCCCCTGGGCCCGGCCCCTCCCCCACCTCCGCCCAGCCTGGCTGCCACTCACGAGGTCCCCTCTGCCCAGGGCAAGTTCCAGGGCTTGGACCTGAACGAGGAGCTCTACCTGGGCGGCTACCCCGACTACGGCGCCATCCCGAAGGCAGGGCTGAGCAGCGGCTTCGTAGGTGAGCCCCCCCACTCCCGCCTGCAGCCCTGGCCAGACCGCCCCCCGGGCTGGCCAAGCCCGTGGTCACCCAGGAGGACGGGCCTCCGGGCACCCCCACCTCAGCTCATCCTGCCCACCACCGCCCCCAGGCTGTGTCCGAGAGCTGCGCATCCAAGGCGAGGAGATCGTCTTCCACGACCTCAACCTCACGGCCCACGGCATCTCCCACTGCCCCACCTGTCGGGACCGGCCCTGCCAGGTGACACCCCCCAGGCTGCACGTCCTCCCGGCAGCCCCCAGCCACCGCCCTCGGCCGGGACAGACACCCCCCAACCCCGCAGGAAGCAGGGGAGGGCCCGGGTGTCCTTGGCCTGACTTCTGGGGGTTGCCTCGCAGAACGGAGGCCAGTGCCAGGACTCGGAGAGCAGCAGCTATGTGTGCGTGTGCCCGGCCGGCTTCACCGGGAGCCGCTGTGAGCACTCACAGGCCCTGCACTGCCACCCAGGTGGGTGCCCCCCCCCCGTCCGTGGCTGCCACCCCAGCCTCTCTCTTCCCTCTGCCCGTCGCTGCATCCACATACCCGCCCCCAACCACTGCCCCCACAGCGGCTGAGTACTCACCACTCTCGTGAGTCCTCCCCCAAGTATTTAGCACCTTCTTGGCTTCTGACTTGCGTCACCGCTTACACTAACCTCCCCTCCGCCGATCTCTGCCACCCAAGGCCTCACCCTGCCCACTGCACCGAGGCATGGCCCCTGGCCCCCATCACCACTCCTAGGTACCTACTACCTGTCACCAGAGCGCTCACCCCACCGCCCGCCTCCCAGGGACTCCTCACCCCCACACTAGTGCGGGTGGATGCAGCCTTCCAGGAACAACACCCGGAGTCACGGGCTCACTCCCCACCTGCTGTCCCCTGGCCTAAGTCCCTTCCCCCTCCGCTGTCTCCCCACGCAGCACCCCCAGGCTGGCCGGGCCCTAACCAGCCGAGGGGGTGCAATAGGTAGGACCCTGCATCGGGACCCCTCTCTCTCTCCCTGGACACCTCCATGTCCCCCCGACTCACCGCCCCCTGTGTCCCCCACCGCAGAGGCCTGCGGGCCTGACGCCACGTGTGTGAACCGGCCCGACGGCCGCGGCTACACCTGCCGCTGCCACCTGGGCCGCTCGGGGTTGAGGTGTGAGGAAGGTAAGCAGAGCGGGGGCCTGAGACCCCGGGGATCCCAGGGAGGACGGGGGAGCTGGGCAGGGCACCCTGAGGCCCCGACGGATGCTGTGCATGGGACAGTTATTCCAGAGCCTGAGTTCCTTCAGCGAGGGCCCCAGAGAGGAACCCGATCCGATTGGAGATCGGCCTGCCCTGCAGCGCCGGGGGCAGGGAGTCTCGAGGCCGCGGCTGCAGGCACTGCCCAGCGGGTCCCCAGCCCCTGGTCCTGGACAGTGGGGGTGAGCAGGGGTCCCGGAGGACGGCTGCCTGGCCGGAGCCCTCCCGGGGCCCCGGGGCTCCCACTGCCCCGCTGAGTCCTGGCTGCCGCAGGTGTGACCGTGACCACCCCCGCCCTGGCGGGCACAGACTCCTACCTGGCACTGCCCGCTCTCACCAACACACACCACGAGCTGCGCCTGGACGTGGAGTTCAAGCCGCTGGCACCCGACGGGGTGCTGCTGTTCAGTGGAGGGAAGAGCGGGCCAGTGGAGGACTTCGTGTCCCTGGCGATGGTCGGGGGCCACCTGGAGTTCCGCTACGAGCTGGGCTCGGGTGAGTGCGGACCCCAAACGCAGACGGGCCGTGGGCACCAGGCTCCATGCCCCCCGCATCCCAGGCCCTACGGGGCCCCAAGAGGCAGGAGGAGTAAATTCTGAAGTCAGACCAACAGGAGGCCCCTGATCTTTGCATTCCTTCTCTCCGTGTGACCCGATTCGAGTCCCTAGACCTCTTTGGGGGGTTCCTCGGGGGGCACAGAGAGGCTAAAGGAGGTTCTGTGTCTGCTCAAATTCCCGTTGGGGGGTGGGCCAGGGCAGGGGGGCCCAGCCACGTGCCAACCCTGCCCGGCGTCCTCCCCAGGCCTGGCTGTCCTGCGGAGCGCCGAGCCGCTGGCCCTGGGCCGCTGGCATCACGTGTCCGCGGAGCGTCTCAACAAGGACGGCAGCCTGAGGGTGAACGGCGGGCGGCCCGTGCTGCGCTCCTCGCCCGGCAAGAGCCAGGGCCTCAACCTGCACACTCTGCTCTACCTGGGCGGCGTGGAGCCGTCAGTGCAGCTGCCCCCGGCCACCAACGTCACCGCCCACTTCCACGGCTGTGTGGGTGAGGTGAGCAGACTTCCCGACCACCTACAGGGAGGGTGGGGCGGTCCTCGTCTGCCGGCAGCCCCGGGTGCTGGGGACTAGACGCTTCCCCCTCCGAGCCTCACTTTCCTCCTCTGGGAAATGGGATGATTGCACCTGCCCTCAAAGCTCATCCCGAGGCGGGACCACGGTGATGGGTGTTCCCGGGCCCTGAAGGAGGAAGCTGTTCCTCCTTCCTTGGTGGTTCAGCTGGTAAAGAGTCTGCCCACAATGCAGGAGACCTGGGTTCAATCCCTGGGCTGGGCAGATCCCCTGGAGAAGGGAGAGGCTACCCACTCCAGTATTCTGGCCTGCAGGATTCCATGGACTGTATAGCCCAGGGGGTTTCAAAGAGTCGGACATGGCTGAGCGGCTTTCGCACTCTCCCCGCCCTAGTCTCCCACCTCCCTGCTCAAGCCCAAGCCTGGGCCCCCGCTCCCCTCCGTCTCCTGGGGCACCCGTGCCTCTGCCTGCCGCTGCCCGCTGCGCTCTCCAGGCCCCTCCGTGTCCCTATGCCCACAGGTGTCAGTGAACGGAAAGCGGCTGGACCTCACCTACAGCTTCCTGGGCAGCCGGGGCGTCGGGCAGTGCTACGACGGCTCGCCGTGTGAGCGCCAGCCCTGTCGCCACGGCGCCACATGCATGCCCGCGGGCGAGTATGAGTTCCAGTGTCTGTGTCGAGACGGCTTCAAAGGTGGGGGAGCCCCCGGGCCGGTGCTGGGCAGGGGCGCGGCGTGGGCAGCAGCCGCTCGGCCCCTGCCCGCTCACCTCTGCCCCAACCCGCAGGAGACCTCTGCGAGCACGAGGAGAACCCTTGCCGGCTCCGTGAGCCCTGTCTACACGGGGGCACCTGCCAGGGCATCCTCTGCCTCTGTCCTCCCGGCTTCTCGGGCCCACGCTGCCAGCACAGTAAGCGCCCCGACTTCTCACCACCTTCTCCCTCGGGGCTCCAGAGCTGGACACAGCCCGCCAGCTGGAGCCTGCCTCTCCCCACAGGCTCTGGGCACGGCATGGTGGAGCCCGACTGGCATCTTGAAGGCAGCGGGGGCAACGGTATGTACTGGCCGTGAGCGGCCAGAGGAGCTGAGCCGACTTGTCCTTCCCAGACTCTGAGTCGCTCAGCCCCTCTTCCAGTGACCCCCACCCCCCTCACCGCTCCATCCTGGCCTCTAAATAAAACCGGTCCGGGGAGAGGCTCCCTGGGCGCAGAGACAGGACGAGGAGACACGAGCCGCCTAGAGCTGGGTCCCGCCCCGTGCTTACAGGCTGGGTGACCATGCGGCACTCTCACTTCCGTTCTCTGCCCTGTATTCATGCATTCCAGCAACAAAAGTGTATGTGTGCCCATCCTTGCCCCGGGAGCAGTAAATGTGCAATGAATAAGGCAGGACGCTCGTTCTCAAGGATTCCACAATTTGTTTAAAGGCAGTGACAGTGACTTTACTACAACGTGTAACATAAATAGCTGGTGGGAGCCTGCTGCATAGCGCAGGGAGCTCAGCCCGGTGCTCTGTGAAGACCTAGATGGGGGGGTGGGGGGGAGAGGGGAGAGGGGTGGTCCTAAAGGGAAGGGGTCTAAGTATACATATGGCTCATTCACTGCATTATACAACGGAAACTAACATAATGTTGTAAAGCAGTAACACTCCAATTTAAAAATTTATTTATTGAACATCATTTACAGGGCTTGTGCTCCCTGATTTCTAGATGTGTATCTTATTTATCACTAACACAGTAGGAGAGGTAGTGGTCTAGTGGGTAAAGGTCTGGATTCAAATCCCAGCTCTGCCCCTTCCTGCCTGTGTGACTTGGCTGAGTCACTTAACCTCTCTGGACCTCAGTTTCCTCATGTATTAAATAGAAAGAAGTAACATCCTTCCACAAAGCTTTGGAGAAAATTTCGTGTGAGAATAAGATCCTTTACTGTATTTAAAACGCTTCAAACAATGCCTGGTCCACAGTGGACACAGAACATTGTTGTTGTTGAGTCCCTAAGTCTTGTCCGACTCCTTGTGACCCCATGGACTGCAGCATGCCGCACTTCCCTGCTCTTCACCATCTCCCAGAGCTTGTTAAAACTCACGTCCGTTGAGTTGGTGATGCCATCCAACCATCTCATCGTCTGTTATCCCCTTCTCCTACTACCCTCAATCTTTCCCAGCATCAGGGTCTTTTCCAATGAGTCAGCTCTTTGCATCAGGTGGCCCAAGTATTGGAGCTTCAGCTTCATCAGTCCCTCCAATGAATATTCAGGGATGATTTCCTTTAGGATTGATTAGATTGATCTCCTTGCTGTCCAAGGGACTCTCAAGAGTATGAGAAAATGCAGACTATTAGCTTTTGTGAATTGTAGCAAAGACATAGGGTTATGACAAGGATCCAGTTAAAAATGATGTGATCCATCCAGCTGGATGATGTGAAACCTCCTGCCCCGTAACTGGCACAGAGTAGGTGCTCAGAAACTGTTAGCTGCTTACTTAACCAGCTGGTGGAGGCCTGCGACGTGTCCCCAACCCTGGTAGCTGCCAGGCCCCAGGGGCCAGCTCTGGGATGGAATGGCGTTGAGCAGGTAGGGTTGGGAATGTTACAGCCACACACACATTCTGGGTGATGCGTTCCTAAGGTCTGGGCTGCCATCCAGGCTTCCCACTTCTGGGCGAGTCCCTCACCCCTGAGCCTGTCTTCCCGTCTGTAAGATGGAGGGAACTCAAGGGTTCAGAAACGTCTATGTGCTACTGACCTGGGTGACCAGCTGACCCAGTCTGCTCAGAACTGAGAGGCTTCTGGGAATGAGGGACTTGCAGAGCTAAACCGAGACAGGGGACTTCCCTGGCAGTCCAGTGGTTAAGGATCCTCCTTGCAATTCAGGGAACGCAGGTTCGAATCCTGGTCGGGGAACTAGGATCCCACATGTTTTGGAGCAGCTAAGCCCACACACTGCAACCACTGAGCCTGTGCTTTCTAGAGCCTGAGGGCCACAAGGAAGGCCCATCACAGTCAAAAAAAGAACCAGAACAGGAACCAGCAAATAGCGATGGGTGATCACCCTACCTGACCCTGTTGACTACAAAGAATAAATGAAGCATATAGGATTTCAAAGGAAACCAATTATCCTGAAACAAGGTTATCAAAGGGCTTCCCTTGTGGCTCAGAGGATAAAGAATCCACCCACAGTGCAGAAGACCTGGGTTCGGTCCCTGGGTCAAGAAGATCCCCTGGAGAAGGGCATGGCAACCCACTCCAGATCCTTGCCTGGAGGATCCCATGGACAGAGGAGCCTGAGGGCTACAGTCCATGGAATTGCAAAGAGTTGGATATGACTGAGTGACTCACCCTTTCACTTTTATCAAAATGTTTAAAATTTTTTGCTTCTTTCAGTTCAGTTCAGTCGCTCAGTCGTGTCCGACTCTTTGCAACCCCATGAATCGCAGCACGCCAGGCCTCCCTGTCCATCACCAACTCCCGGAGTTTACTCACTCTCATGCCCATCGAGTTGGTGATGCCATCCAGCCATCTCATCCTCTGTCATCCCCTTCTCCTCCTGCCCCCAATCCCTCCCAGCATCAGGGTCTTTTCCACTGAGTCAATTCTTCGCATGAGGTGGCCAAAGTATTGGAGTTTCAGCTTCAGCATCAGTCCTTCCAGTGAACACCCAGGACTGATCTCCTTTAGGATGGACTGGTTGGATCTCCTTGCAGTCCAAGGGACTCTCAAGAGTCTTCTCCAACACCACAGTTCAAAAACATCAATTTTTCAACGCTCAGCTTTCTTCACAGTCGAAATCTCTTATTAACCATTAAATACAAGATTTAAGGTTGTTAGTCCCAACAGCTACCAAAGTTGCAATAAGCATAAACAATGTTTTTAAGCACTTGTAACTACCGCAAGGGGGTATGGAAATCTCCCACTGGGGACCAAGTCACCTTCAGAGTGTCTCCTACCTGCATAATTGAAGGAGTGGCTAACCTTCAGGAAGAAGTGAGCAAGAGCAGAACTGTAATGTTTTCCCAGCCAAGTTCAGAGGCCTCTGAATTCTGCCCACAGCACCCGCCCCCTGCCCCCCGGGTCCCCAGGGACCACAGGTTCAGAGCCCCTTAGGAGCAGTACAGGCCAGGGTGGAGACGGAGGTCGGGGTACCTGTGCGGGATGGATGCTCCATGGGGGTGGATGGGGCTCCCAGCATCGCTCCCACTGCCCCTCCACAGATGCCCCCGGGCAGTACGGAGCCTACTTCTATGACAACGGCTTCCTTGCTCTCCCAGGCCGCGTCTTCTCCAGGAGGTGAGACCAGTGTTGGGAGGGTCTGTGGTCCCCGGGGTGGGACTTCTGCCCCTCACCCTCTTTCCCCACCGCAGCCTCCCTGAGGTGCCTGAGACCATTGAGCTGGAGGTTCGGACCAGCACAGCCAGTGGCCTCCTGGTCTGGCAGGGCGAGGTGAGTGTGGGGCGTCTGGCCCGGGGATCTCAGGCTCCCCAGCCTCTCGGTGGCCGGGGAAGTGGGGGAGAGAAAGGAGGCGGTGATCGCCCCTGGGGCCACAGAGACGCTGTGCTTCCCTGGCAGGAGACGGGGCAGTCTGGCCGAGGCAAGGACTTCATCAGCCTTGGGCTTCAGGACGGGCACCTCGTCTTCAGGTGGGTCCTGGCCCCTCCTGTCCCTTCCCTCACCCCCCTTATCCTTCAGTGGCTTTCCCTCCGGTCCCCCCCCAGCCACACCCCCCACTACCCACGCCCAGTCCTACCCCCTGCTCACACCCTCTTGGGCCCATGTGCCTGCAGCTACCAGCTGGGCAGCGGGGAGGCCCGCCTGGTCTCTGAAGACCCCATTAACGACGGCGAGTGGCATCGTGTGACGGCGCTGCGGTAAGGGAGCCCCCCCCCAGGCACCGGGACGAGGGGCCAGAGTTCCCCCGTCCCGTGTCGGGGGTAGGCATTGAGCTCTGGGGAGACAGAACTTGAGGGTGGGGTCAGCGGGGAGATCACCACCCAGAGCACAGACTTCCAGGACAGGACAAGACTCCTTGGAGGCGGGGATGGGTGCTCTAGCACCCCAAGGGTTGGGGGAAACCTGGATGAGGTGCTCGGAAGCTGTGTGTGTGGGGCCAGATCTCTCACCCAGCATGGGGGGGCAGTAAAGAACTTGGGGAGCAGGGGGCGGACCTCTGTCATAAAGGGAGGGACCCTCATGGGGTTGGGGAGGACGGGAAATGGGGGGTGAGGGCCTGACCCCCGTTCCAATACAGAGAGGGCCAGAGAGGCTCCATCCAGGTGGACGGAGAGGAGCTGGTGAGTGGCCAGTCCCCAGGCCCGAACGTGGCGGTCAACACCAAGGGCAGCATCTACATTGGTAAGTCTTGAAGGCGGGCCTCGGGGCAGGCTGGGGCCCTGCTCCTCCAGGGGACGAGGGAGGGACTAGGGGCCCCTGCACCCCCCCGCAGAGCTGGAGCTCCCCCTCCCAGGGCTGCCCGAGCTGATGGGTCCGCCCTCTCCCCCCGCAGGCGGAGCCCCGGACGTGGCCGTGCTGACCGGGGGTAGGTTCTCTTCGGGCATCACAGGCTGCATCAAGAACCTGGTGCTGCACTCCTCCCGGCCCGGCGGCTCCCCCCCACAGCCAGTGGACCTGCAGCACCGTGCCCAGGCGGGGGCCAACACACGCCCCTGCCCTTCGTAGGCGCGGCCCGCCCTGCACGGACTCCCGGGCCGCACCCCAGCCCCGCAACGGCGACTATATTATTATTAATATTATTATGATGATGATGATGAATATTTTGTAAGAAACTGAGGCGATGCCACGCTTTGCTGCTACTGCCCTGGGCTGGACTGGCGGGTGGGCACGCCACCCCCCGCCCCCACCCAAGCACACCTGGGCAGAGCCACAGGCTGCGGGCACAGCAGACACACCAGAGCCGGCGCCTCGGGGGCCACCAGGACTCGGGGTGAAGTGCGGCGGCTCAGTGGGGTCAGATCCACCCCCACCAACGGAGCCCCTGACCAAGGCAGCGCTGGGCCGCCCCTTCGTTCAGCCCCGGGGTGGCGGCCGTCATTTCTGCGGAGCCAGCCTCGGCTTCCAGCCCGGCACCTTGCCAGCCACCTTGGAGCCTCACCAGCTACCCGGAGTGGAGGGCATCAATTGGCCTTGGCCACCCTCCTCTGGGTTGGGCAGGCTCTCTAGTGCCAACTGTGGAGCAAAAGGCAGCTCACCCCTGGGCAGGCACCCCCACCCCGCCTCCAGCCCACGTCCTAGCCCCGATCCACCCCCACCAGACCAGCCGGGCCCCCGGCCCCTGGCAGCCTTCCCCTCCCACCAAGCCCTCCTCCCCCCCCCCCCCCCCCCCACCAACCCCACACCTAGCCCAGGGCCCCCAGCCCTCAAGGGGCTGCAAGGGAAACTCCACCCAACTCGTACCAGGAGCTGCTAGAGGCAGAGCCCAGCACTGAGAGGGGCTCCCTGCCCGCGCCAGGCCACGTCCCCCCCACGGATCTGGAAGTGAAGGCCCAGGGGACGTGGGGGGAGGAGGCCTTGGTGGTCAGAAAGAGTAAGTGCCTTGGGTGGGGGGAGCTGGGACGCACGACTGGGAGGGACAGGGAGAGGACGTGATCGTCCTGCCCCATCTGAGGGCCCGCCCCGCCAGCAGTCCCCCCAGACGTGGGGCCGGGACGCCTGGCCTCTGTGTCCTAGAAGGGACCCTCCTGTGGTCTTTGTCTTGATCTTTCTTAATAAACGGTGCTATCCCCGCCAGGGCTGTCGTCTCCTGTGTCTTGATTCAAGCGGGACTCGTGGTCCCTTAGGGTGGGTCAGGATGGGGCCAAGCAGGATGGACCAGCGAGTTCCAGGGGTGAAGTGAGACAGCATCAGGCGTGTGAGGCTGCTGCTCCCTGCCCTCCACGGACCCAGCAGGGTGCCAGCCGCCAAAACAAGCTGCAGGGTCAGCTGTCCCAGTGGCCTTCACTGTGACCCTCTGAGGCAGGCATCATCCCATTTTCCAGAGGGGCAGACTGAATCTCGGGGAATTATGTGATGGGCCCAAAGGTAGACAGCGCTGTGGCAGGGTTGGGGGCAGAACCCGGGGACCGTCTGACCCCAGAGACCACTCTCTTCCCTCTGATGCCCGAAGCCTCTCTAGGAGTGTACCCCCCGACGCTGGAAGGCTGGCTCACTCAGCCGCGGCCCCCCAGGGCCCACTTGGCCAGGACACCTGTAACAGACAGTGCAGCAGGGGCCACGGGCCCAGGCCCGGGCGGCCAGCTGGCCGGAGAAGCAGCAGCACCAGAGGAGGCCCAGGAGGAGGCCCGCCGAGGCCAGGGACAGTGAGGAGGCCAGCGCCACCCCCTGCAGCCGGGGCCCTGCAGAAAGAGAGCGTCCACTCGGGCCTTGGCCTGGGCCTGCTGCCCGCTGCCCACCCCTGCAGTGGGACAAGTATGATCTCGGTGGTGGAGCGACAGGTGGAGTGCGTGGTAACCAAGAGCCACCTACCTTCCAGAGCTGCACCCTGTTGGGCAGGGTCCCAGGGGGCTGGCGGGCCCATCTCAGCTGCCGTCCCCAGGGGTCCTGACGATTGAAGAGCTGGGGGAGGAGTCAGGGTCTGGGGGGTGCCATCATCCAGATTCCCCGCCAGGCTGGGCACTGGAGAGGGGCCTGCAGGGGGACATAACCACTAACTCACAGAGATTTGATGATTTAATGGTTATGTCTCATTTAATCCTCCTAAAACCTCTTAGCAAGTCTTAGTATTTTTATTTTACAGATAAGGAATGGATGGGGAAACAGTGGGAACAGTGACAGACTTTATTTTGGGGGGCTCCAAAATCACTGCAGATGGTGACTGCAGCCATGAAATTAAAAGACACTTGCTCCTTGGAAGAAAAGTTATGACCAACCTAGACAGCATATTAAAAAGCAGAGACAACACTTTGTCACAAAGGTCCTATCTAGTCAAAGCTATGGCTTTTCCAGTAGTCATGTATGGATGTGAGAGTTGGACTATAAAGAAAGCTGACCACCAAAGAATTGATGCTTTTCAACTGTGGTGTTGGAGAAGACTCTTGAGAGTCCCTTGGACTGCAAGCAGATCCAACCAGTCCATCCTCAAGGAAATCAGTCCTGAATATTCATTGGAAGGACTGATGCTGAAGCTGACACTCCAGTACTTTGGCTACCTGATGCAAAGAACTGACTCATTGGAAAAGACCCCGATGCTGGGAAAGATTGGAGGCAGAAGGGGACGATAGAGAATGCAATGGTTGGATGGCATCATCGACTCAATGCCCATGAGTTTGAGTAAGGTCCGGGAGTTGGTGATGGACGGGGAAGCCTGGCATGCTGCAGTCCATGGGGTTGCAAAGAGTTGGACTGAGCAACTGAACTGAACTGAACTGAGGCACAGAGAGAGGTTAAGTCACTTGCCCAGGCCACACAGCTAGAAGTGGCAGGGGTGGACTTGAACTCACAGTCTAGCTCCAGGGGCTGCAGTGGATGAATGGAGCTACTTCTCAAGAAGGAAGTACCTGTACTGAGCATTGTCAGTGCACCCAACACTGCTCTGTGCTGGGCTCTTTACCCACAGGATTTCACTTAAAGTTCATGACAGATCTAAAAGGCTAGATTTGTCATCGTCAGTTTACAGGTAAAGAAGCGAAGGGACAGGGAGGTTCATTCTTCCACTTATTCAACAAGTATTTTTTGATCATCTACTGTACCCCAGGCATTGTTCTGGGGACTAAGGGAAATGACAGTGAGAAAAATAGACAGAAATGTCTTTATGGAGGGCTTCCCTGGTGTCTCAGTGGTAAAGAATCCATCTGCCACTGTAAGAGACACGGGTTTGAACCCTGATCCAGGTAGTACTAGTGGTAAAAAAAAAAAAAAAAAAAACCCACCTGCCAATGCAGGAGATATGAGATGCAGGTTCAATCCCTGGGTCTAGAAGATCCCCTGGAGGAGGGCCTAGCAGCCCATCCAGTATTCTTGCCTGGAGAATCCCATGGATGGAGGAGCCTGGTAGACTATAGTCCATGGGGTCGCAAAGAGTCAGACATGATGAAAATGTCTTCAGTTCAGTTCAGTAAGTCAGTTGTGTCCGACTCTTTGCAACCCCATGAACTACAGCATGCCAAGCCTCCCTGTCCATTACCAACTCCCGGAGCTTACTCAAACTCATGTCCGTTGAGTCAGTGATGCTATCCAACCATCTCATCCTCTTTCGTCCCCTTCTCCTCCCGCCTTCAATCTTTCCCAGCATCAGGGTCTTTTCCAACGAGTCAGTTCTTCTTGGAAACGACTTAACACGCACCCTCACCACCACTGAAACACCAGCTGGAAGCAGCTGGACCCTATCACCTCCAGCATCTTCGAGCTCTAACGCCCTCTGGTCCTCAGGCTAGAGGCCCTCGGCCTGGTCTGGCCAGAGTCCCCGCTGCTCCCCCTTTCCCTCTCCCGCCGCACCCCTGCCTCCAGTTTCCACCCCAGCTGCTGGGCGGGGCCCAGGCCACACCTCCGCACTGACCTCCGCAGTTGGCTGGTGGCCAGGAAGCCTGGTCACTGCCGTCGCCACAGTCATCCATGCCCCAGTGATCGCACACCAGGCTCCGGGGGACGCACCTGCCGTTCCGACACGGGAAGTAGGCACCACAGGATCCTGCAGCCAAGAGGGGAGGCGTGCAATGAGGACCTGGGCACCGGGGCAGGCGTGGCCAGGTGGGGAAGGAATGTAGGAGGTGTGAGCAGGAGAGGCTGTTTCCAGGCGCGTGCAGACAAGAGTATGAATGAGAGAGGGATGTGATCATAAAGATGATGAGGGTGATGGTGGCTAAGATTTACGGAGTTCCTATGCCAGACCCTGCGTGGTTTGCATCCCAGCTCATTGAGTTGTCACAGCAACCCTGTGGCTTCACTACTGTTATCAACCCCATTTTAGAGATGAGAAGACTGAGGCACAGGGAGGTTAGGTCACTAGACCAAGGCCTCATAGCTTGTATCTAAGCTGCAGGGTAGGAATTCCGCCCCATGCTCATTAAGCATGTGAGTGTGTACATGCACATGTGTGTGCCCGGAGACCTGAACACTCCAAGCACCTCCCCACCCTCGGCACTGTACCTGCCATCAGCCCACCTGCAACTCTATGGCTTGTTCCTCTCAGGTTTCCACTCAAATGTCATCTTGCCCGAAGGCCTGCCCTCACCCCCACACAAGAAGAGCACACCACCCCTCCCCGCCCCCCCCCCCCCCCTTTATCCTGATTCTCGTTCCCCTGCAGCACTTACCACCTCTGCAGAACACAGATTTGCTTGATTCTTTGTGGTCTGTCTTGCCCACTAGAACGTCAGCTCAAATGAGGCAGGGACTTTCTCTTTCACTCATTGCTGCGTGAATCCTGGCACCTAGAACAGCACCTGGTACCTGGCAGCTACTCAATACTTGTTAAGTGAATGAACACACACACAGATGAGAAAAGGGGATGACTTGGTGCCCAGGTGCGGCAGACAGGTTGGCTTACACAGCACCCCATTCCACGGAAGAAAAGCTGGGTCAGGCAGGACTGACCAATACCATGGCTCAGAGCTGAGCATGGGAATCAGAGTATTCCATTCCTGGTTCTGGGAATGGACATATGGCCCATGTGACTAATAGATTTGACCCTGAGGACTTTTGCTAGAACCTTAAGATCCCTGCAGTTCCCTGGCAGTCCAGTGGGTAGGACTTGGCACTTTCACAGTAGGGGGCTCAGGTTCAGTCCCTCGTCAGGAACTGAGATCCTGCCAGCCACACGATGGCGTGGCCAATAGAGAAAAAATCCTCACTCTTTTTTCCATTGAGGTGAGAATTATAAGAGAGATTGCATTCTTGGAGGTGCAGGGTCACCTTGCTGCCAAGTAGAAAGAGGGTGCTAGAGTTGCCTGAGATGAAAGCCAAACAGACCCAAAGCACTGCAAAGGGAAAGAATAAAGAGAGAGAGAGCCTAGGAGGCATCATTTGAGCTCTTGGATCCATCTATACCTGAATCAACACCTTAGTATCCCAGTTATAGGAGCCCCCCAAATTCTCCTTTGGCTTAAGCCAACTCGAATTGGGTTTCTTACATGTGAAAATGAAAGTGAATGCTCTCATACGCACAAGATGTGTAGGTGTCAGACCTGCAGGGACTAAAGCCTCGACTCAATGTGAGCAGAGGACCAGCTCTAGCAGTTATAGCCCCACTGCTCAGCCTGTGATCTGGGAGGCCTGCAGCACTTTGCCTAACCTCCCTGAGCCTGTTTCCCATCCATCAACAGGAGGGCATGACCCAGCAGAGCTGCTGTGAGAACAGAGGCTTGCCAAGGGCAGGAGACAATAAGGGATTATTGTTAACATCACCATCAGTTCCCTTTCCTTGCCCAAGTAGGCTTCCCTCACTTACCATCACCAGGAGTCCTCACTCTCCGCCCCTCTGCAATCTTCTGAGAGGCGGACTCGGGACAGAGGAGCCGGTGTGTGGACATACGTGGGCGTGAGTTGCCTGGAAGTGTGCAGAGTGGTACCGTGTACGAGGTGTGCATGAGGGGAGCTGTGTGTGCGAGGGAGTGTGCCGTATGTGAGCCGGGAGGGCTGTGCACTGGCAGTCTGTGTGTGCCGGGTTTGTGGAGCCGTGTGCACGAGGTGTGAGGTATGTGCTTGCGCCGTGTGTGTATGAGGGAGTGGATGCTGGAGGGTGAGGTGCGCGAAGTCAAGTCCCCGCGGTTGGCTCTGGGTCTGAACCGCCCCAC